ATTTAAATTAAATTTTATTGATGATAATGAACTTTAGGGATTATAAATAAGGAAAATTTTGTATTTCAAATATAATATTGAATGTCTCCTTAGTATTGATGAAATTGTTAGAAGGAGATTTATCCGAAAAGAAACAAATTTATTTAAAACTTTAGGGAACGCTATCAGATAGCGGGGATAGCTCAGTTGGGAGAGCGTCAGACTGAAGATCTGAAGGTCGCGTGTTCGATCCACGCTCACCGCATTGTTTTTGAAATGTTTTCGTTTCTACGGTTTTCCCTTCATCATATGAGATTTTTTCTTCCTCACCCCCCACCCTCCCCACACACAAAAGAAATAGTCATTATATATATTTTTTTTGTAGAAAACAGAAGTAAACAACCCACCAGGTTAGGCTACAATAACCCAAAAACAGAAATAAATAACTATCAAAGGTTAGCCTATGTGTTCATTTTACCATCAACCCTCTGATGCTATATCTAACAACAAATGAAGAAATAATTCACTTCTATATACATGATTAGGCTTAAAATAATTTGATTAGACTGTAACAACATCACCGAATTAATGAGAAACCAAACACTAGCACTAAACATCAATTTATCCTTGAGAAATCTCTAAGGAAAACCGAAACCAACTTCAATTAGGCCAGCTCAGAACAAAATCTCACCACCTTATAAACAAAATCTAACCAAATATATAAATAATGAAGAAATGGTAGTAAAATACAACAAAAACTTGGTAGGAATTAATGGCTAAATTAAGGGCACTTCCCATTTGGGATCTGGGGCAAGTATCTTCCAACCTAAGAGAGCAAAGATTGCGGAGTGGAGCTGCTGGATCCAACATTTTAATAGAGTAAACCAGACAGAGATACTGCTCGATAATGTCATCATTTTTTCTAGGGCCGGCCTTGCATATTTATTGATTATCCAGAAAGTTGGATGCTCCTTGTCCTTAGACGTGGAGGTTAACTTTTGGAGAGGAGCTGGAGAATGAGGCCAAACACCTGAGAGTGTCAAAGGCTGGTAAGAGACGCCACCAAAAGTGGTCCTCCGAGTAGGTACCATAGTCTTCATCCAAATTATAATGGATTCTTTCCAGCTTGTGGGTATGGGTGTGATAGACGAAATAGTTGTTTTCCCATCTCAGAAACATCAAGTCTGATGATCACGGAACAAAAGATACAAACCCGAAGGGCTCGACGCTGAGCTGAACCTTAACATCCCAGGCCAACAATGCTCGTGAATTCTTCATCAACAAGGAATGTATGTCTATTTTGTTGCAAAATCTCCACCGACTACTAGTACTAGTGTTTGATGAAGTAATAGTATGATGATCAATAATACGAAACCTATCATCCTCAAGCATCCAGATCTCAATGAGTGTCATGTTATTTTAATTGCAGCGTACTGGAGACAACCTTGAGGAGATACACCAAGCACATCGATGATCTCGCAGAGGCAGGTTTCCCTGTCAAAACAGGACGCTGGTTTGTGTATTAAAGTGACACAACAACCAGATTGATGATTAGTAATATTCTTCTTGTTCTCCTCCCGTGGTGGTGTACTAGTAGTAGTAGTATTATATGCGGCGAAACAACGAGAACCATTAATTTTGGCCATCCAATAAATGACACCCCCGAGCCACGGTGCCAACACAAGGGCGCAGCCGAAATTCTTGGGAGCAAGTGAGGGTGGATGCGCGCCACTGGCCTGTGGAGAAAGAGAAAGTCTGGACAGGTCGTATATTTCTCTTTTCTAAGTTGGTAAACTCAGCTTCCGCAAGTATAACCTTGAAGGCGTCGTGGTGGTCGTCGTCCCTCAAGATGGTGATATTAGCATCCTCGAAATCCAGGGGAGGTGGAGCAAGTTGGAGGCGCCGCTTGGTGAATGGATTGATGACAAAGTACTTGTTTGTGGTGGGATGTTCGGCTGAGAGAATGAGGCCACCGGGGTTGAGTAAGGATAGGAAATTCCCGAATCAGCCATGAATCTGGTTCGGTTAATAGCACGCCCTAAGTGGCTCGTAGCCTACAATTGAACCGCTGGTGGCACTGGATTATCGCTCGACACCAGTAGCTCAGGTAGGTACATCATCAATCCCACCGGATGGGAATCAATGTAACTCTTCCATTTCTTGGTATATTGTTGTCGGAAGAAAGGGTTCGTTATTAACTCCAGCCATTCCTTGCAAACCACTATGTATCGGAAAATATATCCAGGATCCACCCTTATCAGTATCTCATACAGCATATCTCTCTTCTCTGACAACAACAAATCCACGTTGCACATCCTGAACCCTGGTTACATACTCATGAATTTACAGATTCTGTTCATCGGAAACGAAGAAAAAGACGAAATGAAGAAGATGATATCAAGAAACGTAAAGAGAGTCCCACGAGCACCCACAGTATAGAAGCATCTGAAAATGCTCAAACATAAACAAATTCGAACATAAATAAATAAATAAAATCAGATTAAAAGAAGAAAAACAAAGAAACACTCGGCACGTGGAAACGAAAAAATCCGGAAGCCAAAACGAAGAAGATCTGACCCGTGACCAAAGCTGGCACTTCCGCCGAATAAACCATAGGAAGACACGTGGACGGAAAAGTGGCGGGAAGGAATGATGATTGTCAAATTTGTCACGCCTCGTGCGTAACTAATAATGTCCGCGTTCAATTAAATGATCTATTCTTGCACACAGCTTTGGATCATCAACTCGTCTCCAGCTATAAGGCTAGTTTGACAATCAAATTTAACAGCAATTTACATCAAGGGTCAAAGGAATGACAGTTTGGTTTCCACTTTCTAGTTCAGATCCTATAGGAATGACATATCATAGTTGAACTCAGTCATTTTTTTCCTTTGTAATCAATGGAAAGAGCTCATTAACCTAAGAACAAGTTATGCTTTTCAAAGCAGTAAACGAACTAGAGCGTTTCATTTCATTTGGTAAGTTTTGGAATGAGGATCGAGTACCAATTCTGGAGTCTTTTAGCTCCAGTGTAAAAGTTATGACCAGGACAAATCGAGACTTCTTGATTATAGAAGAGCAGGTTCAATACAGAACCAGTAAGCACTAGGTCAAAGGAAAAAGAACGCCATGGCACTTAAGGTACCTAAAAAACTCCTAGACCTGTCAATCCGGTCCAGATTACGGTTTGACACTGTTAAACCGTCTGTCAATCCAGACCAGACCGTATATATATTATAAAATAATAATATATTGGTTTTGTATATATAGAGTCAGATAGAGACTTTTATTGAAAGTACTAAGTTGTCCTATTGGCATTGTTGTTGTTTTCTCTACATTAGACCTTTCTGAAGGTCGTGTGTTCGAATCCCCTATGTACTAATTTTATTTTATTTTTTCAAGAAAAGCCTCCAAAAAAAGGATGAGAAAGGCCCAAAAAATTTCAGGGAAAGCCCCCAAAAAAAGTCCAACAACAAAAAATGAAAAAGTCTAATCAGAAGTCCAAACTGCCAATTCGCCCAAACCAAACCGTTAAAAACGGATTGGATTGGTCCGGATTATACACCAATCCGGTCCGGTTACGAATTGAAAATTTTTCAAACCGTAATATAACGAATTGTTATCAATCCAGACCAATCCGGACGAAGAACACTCTAGTAAATATATTAATTAATATAATACAGTGTAGGGAATTATTTCCTCAATCATTTGAAGGGAAAAAGATTTAGGAAAGAAAGACAAATTTTGAATAATATATTTTTTTGAGAAAATAAATTTTGAATAATATTTAAGGAAAGAAAGACAAATTTTGAATAATATTGAAAAAATTTAAAAGATTAATCTAAGTAGTTAAAAATAATTAGCTCTCCATGTAAAAAATTGCTCTCAATTTGTCAAGTATTAACGAATTACTACAACACCGTATTATCGTGGTTAAAAAAATGTGTCAGCTTCTTCAGACAGCAATCGATATGAAAACAAAGAAGAATATGCAAAAGATTCATAACAGCCAGAAAATTTTCATTTCCACTCAAGAAAAAAGGAAATAAAAATAAGAACCCGGTCGTCTGATTTAGATTCAAGGTGGTGTAAGAGCCATTCACGGCATTCGTGGCCCCCAGAAAATTCCCCCCTTCAAGAAGATTCTTCATCATCAGTTATAATAATATCTCCATATCCCCTGCAGTATCATCCGGCTGGAGGGGAAGATCATCCCGTTTCTCTGGCAGATGAGATATCTTTAATACACAGGTATATGTTAGATTTTCTGACCTTTTCTCTTTGCTTCATTTTTATGCCACTAAATTTGCTTCCCCTTGTTTGATTTCATGGTAACCCAGGTTAATGATTGATTTTTATTTTTTTTTAAACAATTTTGAAAGGCTCATGATCGACTTTAGCTAGTTCATAACTCCAGAAAAGTTTCTATCTTGCTTTCTGTTAGTTTTGGTTAATTGGGATGCTGATACGGGTTTTCTGTGTATTGAGGAATTTAACATGGGATGACCCTTTTGGACATTCTATCAAGTTTTACTTGTTTATGTCAAGAGTAAAGGTGCAAAAAGTTGAGTTTCAGAGTACACAATATTGCAGATATTCATTTGTTCAATGGTAATAAATTGAAAATTCGTACAATTTTCAAGTGTTACATAGTCCTAAGCCCATGATTATGTAAATGTGTTCGGGCAGTCTCTCTCTCTAAACTGCTATTATGGCTGTATGTAATCAGTTAGGATATGTTGTTTCAACCTAATTTTGTTGAATTTTGGGTTGCATTTATCTTTTATGCATTATAATCTGAGTTAAAACTTTTGTTTGGCTCACGCTCAGTTTTATTTTTTCTAAGAGAACTGTCATGTGCATCCTCCTACCTGTAGAATAGTCATTCTATGCTCGTAATGTGAAAGCTTGAAATAATATCGTGATGTGTTTGATTGAAATCAAGAACTATTATTGATATCATTACCTTTTCTTGGCTGCTATGTCTGGACCATCAGGATAAAATTTATCATGGTTCAACCATGTTGACTGTTCAAATTTTGGGAGTAAATAACAACTTTCAAGCATATTTAGACTCTCACCAGCTAAATGAACATCCTTCTAGAACGCCCCGTGTTATTAATCCGTTGAGTAGCAGCGTCTGTGCTGCTAACTCTGCCTTGGGACCTTTTACTAGAGTGTTGCAAAGTTCCTCCTTTTCCTGGGATTGTTTCACTCATCTTAAGCCTCATCATCTCTCACAACAGAGTACCACCAAGAGATGGATGGTAAGCTCTATCTCGATCTTTCCACTCTTTGGCATTTTATGAGCCTTTCTAACTTCTATCTGTATTTATTACTCTTGGCTGTTCGTTGGGCCTGTCATGTGATGATCACTACAATTTTTAGTGCCGATCAAAAGACACTGTTTCGCCTGATGATGAATTCCGTTCATCACGGAATATTGCAATCAGCTTGTTCAGGCGCTATAGGAGTTTTGTGGAACGGGGAGGAGGTGACAACTTAAAAGTATATCATGTTATTTATATTTCTTAAGATTTTACATGGAAGGAATATTCGCAGCCGTTATAAGATGAAGGGATCTTGATATTGTAGGAGTTCATCAGTGCTGGTGTACATGCATATGCGTTAGGATGCACAGATGAAGGGTTAAGAACAGAACTAACGCAGTTGAAAGATTCAGGTGCAGACATTGAAGCTCTACAAGGATATGGTGGGACCACCAGTCTTAAATACAAGATTTTCAATAAGGAGGTCGTTCTGATACCATTGTTTTTTAAGTTTGCCATCTTGTTGAGTTGCAGTGTACTGTTTTAATATATTATTATTGTTCACTTGAAAGGCGAGATGTAATTTTGATTTCATTATGCATGTTATGGAATTTGTCTGCAGCAGTTTTGCATAAACTGGTATTATATGCTCAGTAACTGTGAGAACTTTGTTTAGAAAATTTCTATGGCTACCTTGTTCTGATTGTTGCTTCTTTCTTTAGATGTTGCTACCACCAATTAGGAAAAGGCCAGCTCATTAGTTCCTTGTCTTTACATTGTGGTCCAAGATTCACAGCACCCTTCTGAAAACTGCAGGTTGATGAGTGCATTTTATGGTTGAGCATCATATTCATAACAATCCTCTGCACACCACAACCTACAGTAGTTCGCTGGTCATCCACCCCTCCTGTTTCAGAGGAAATCATGCTTCAGTGGAAAGGGTTTTGTGCGATAATCGCTAATGCATATTATGTGAGGGGGATGGCATGGTATGTGGTCTATTTGTCTGCAACTTTGCTCCAATCTCCTTTTCCTTAAATGCTGGTTTGATATTTACAAAGTTGAAAAAGGTTATATACAATTCATACTGGTTTGATATTTACCAGTTTACATTTGCTCTAGTTGTGTAGCAAGATGGATTTCATTTTCACTTTTTTCGTTAACTTGTGATCTGTTGACTTTGGTTATCTTTAATATTACTAGGCTTCCTGTAAAGACACTTCAACTAGAGCAAATGGCGGTAGTGGGCTATGCTGAAGAGCCCTCACTTGTTGCAAGCCGAATGCAATTAGTATTTAGCACGCTTGAGGTCAGTTTTAGCCTGGTTTCAAGCTTTTTGTATTTGTAAACATTTTCAGTGTGAATACGTAATATGTTGGAGAATTTTCATCATTTGAACTTCTCAAAACGTTTGCAGGTCGTAAGTCCACAGTGGCCCAGAGGCTAAGTACAACAAGTGCAATGTATGTTTCATCGAAGCCAATTAAAATGATGTAGCTCACTGAATTACATATTCTTAGAACTTCAAAAGGATATAGAAAATGATCTCAGATGTCCCTTATGATGTAGCTCACTGAATTACCAAACTCCGATGTTGCTTTCAGAGATAGACAAATGGCTCTGTTTTATAGGATGATTCCTCGGAAAACAGTGTATCCCCCGTCTTCGAAAACTATTCTACTACTTTGTTAAATGAAAATCCATCCCAGAAAAATATTCCATTTTGTTGTACTTCTTAAGTTCGTTAAACTGCCTTGTTGAAGAGAAGATGGCATACCAGTTTTTGACTTTTTGTTAACGTACTTTTGGATTAAACTGAACCAAATGGGGGAATAGAGTGAAACGAAACACAGGTGAAGTAACTAAAGGTTGCCCAAGGTGAACTATCACATAAATTACTTCCAAAGAACTCATCATCCTTTCCCGAGTATCCAAAAAAAATCATGCTTTCCCAAATAATGAAAACAAAATTTCGCAATGATCTGATTTTCCCTTGTGCTACAACAGTTTTTCATATACACACGTATTAGAAGAAAGAAGGCAATTGGCAGGGTTACAAATCTGGCGAAGATAATGCAATGTTGAACCCGAGAACCTTCCTTGCACGCCAAAGAACAGCTGCGGCTTTTTCGGATGTTCCCATCTGGGAATAACCAAAACAATAACAATTGATTGATGATTGATGAGTAACCTAAAGAAAAATATGTCGAAACCTGATTTACAATAGTTACCTTGAGCTCCATGGAGTAATACTCACTCCACAAATTGGAGTCTCCGCTGTAAGTTGAGATGGCAGATTCAAACAATTTTCGAGCATTTTCAATACATTCTTTGTTACCAGCAGATGCAAGATTCGACTCAAGTTCAACGCAGGTCTTGTACATAACTAGCCCTGGATGAGGCAACTTCAGCAATCTGCATTTATAAACTTAACGGTTATTAACTACAGATTCACTAATGGACATGAAATTATTTGAATGATAACATCTACAAAAGTCAAACAGATACCGTTTATATATTTCTCTTGCCCTTTGGATTCCATCTCTCTGCAGGACTTGATCAACAATGGTAGAAGACAAGGAAAATCCATTATCACTTCCCCCATGTTTGGCCAAGGAAACCATGGAGACTTCTATTAGCTTCTCAAAATAACTTCTGTGATGAGCAAAATATTTGAAGGCCTGTATTACGCACAAGATAAATGCATCACATAGAGATCCTCTAGCAATCAGCAGTTTAGTTATCACATTCATACATCTGAAAAAACCTAATAGCAAAGCTTCAGCATACCATAAGCCACAAGGCTTCAGATTTTGAACTGGCAACCTCAGTAAGGACATTTTTCAGGAGATCAAACAGGGATGACAAATTATCCTTGCTCGGCTTATCTAGACATCTCATGTTGATTGAAATATACAATGTCCACAATGGCACTGAATAAGAAAACATTCCTGAGCAAAACTTTTCACAAATTTTTTTTCCTTCATCTAGTTTCCTCAGCTCCAATAATAAGGTAACATGCTGACAAACAAGATCCTCAGAGAGCAACCCCAAGTTTTCTGCTTTTTCATATACCCGCAATAAATGAAAAACAGGATCTGTGAGTTGTCCACATTCACCGGAATCAGCTGAAGTTTGGGTGTCTGAAAATTTGTGACTGATGGCATCCACTAAGAACTTCACATAAAAGTTGAACAAAGGAACCGAAGACAGAACCCTCAAACCCTCCTCGTATACCTACACATATCAGAACTAAGATTAGTGGAGAAAGTATTATCTTGCCAAGGGACTACAGGAAAATTTTTAAAACCAGATAACTTTAAAACCCTCTGACACACGGACCATCAACAAGATAATAAACAGACAAACATGTTCACCTAATGAACAAGACATTCATTCTAAAATGCTCTATCAGTAATAGGACAAAAGACTCAAACATCCAGCTTCATTTTCGAAAATTTACGATGGATGATATCATTAAACATCACCATTATACCGAAATGCCACAATAAGGGCATCACAGTTGTTCAGCATCACTCAATCTTAAAACTACAGCAAAGACAAAATCCTGAAACAAATTTTCTTTCCTGGGAAACCATAAAAAGACACTGTAGGCAACATGCAACCATTAAACAAATGAAGCTGATGCAAACAAGTATACTATGCAAACAAAATTCTTCATATCTTTTCTTTTAATGTTGAAATGAAATGCCACGGCATAAACAAAATGGAACTATACCTCAACACTTTTTTTTAAATCAGCAATTTCCCGTCTTGCAAGCCAATCCCAATACTCTGGTTCTTTTGAGAAGTCCCTTTGTAAGTCTGCTAGTATCTCATCCCGCATACTATCTGACTGAGCTAAGTCTGTTGCATCTAGGATCTCAAGAAATCTAATTCTTAACCCAAAACTGGAAGGGTGCGCTTCAATTGCCCCACTATAAATTGTTTGAAAAATGCTCAAACCTTGTTTTCGAAGGAGATCTACATCCTCATTTGACTTCTCATCGGCATTTTTGTCGTCAAGCCCCATAAAAAGTTCACCGTTCTCATTTCTCCATTGCATCTCAGCATTATCTTTGGCATTGCGCACTAATGTTCCATCATCCTCTCCCAAAGCAACCTTTCGAGCCTTTAACTTATTTAGATATGTGAGCTCCATGCGGAGGTATTCTACCCATAGATCCTCAGAATTTGGACAAGCTCGCAAACCTCTTTGCATGAGAGCACGAGCAGCTGCAGCATTCAAATTGTGGTCAAACTCCCATGCAGCAGCATATATCCACACCCCAGGCACTTTTGGGTGAAATCTAATAACTTGGGCCAGTGCCTACAAGAAAAAGAAACAAATTTAAATACAGTTAACCACCAACCATTCACCCAATTAGCACCATAAAAATGACGATACTCAGTGCATATACAAAATACCAACCAAGCAAAAATGTATCTGAAATCCTGCTAAGGATCGCGATGGGTGACCATATATAAACATTAATTTAGCTGTCATTTTCTCAGTATTTTGGGCTCTATGCCAACTTCATTTTGCTCTGAGTTGAATGCTTAGAACAATTAAATAATCCAATCTCCCAAAAAAAAACGAAGATAACTGATGGCAGCATCTGGAGAACTATTCTCCTCAAATACAAACATTATTCAAGTAAACAAGAGAACTATTCGGCTTCATTCATGCATCTCAATCGCACCAAAGCTGCCCCACTCAATACACAATTTAATTTCAAATTCACATAACAATAAAAACAAAATCATCACAATCTAATACGAGGTGAAGAACAAAAGTTTCTAGTTTCCAAACCTTTTTCATTCTCCCATTGCGTTTTTGCCTACAGAATTCTAAATACTGAAACCAGAGCTGAATATCTCCCTTAAACCTAGTTGTAGCCAGCCGATAAATATCAACGATTCTCGCTGTTCCGGCGTAGTCCGACACCGATTTCTTCCAATTCTTGGTCTTCCCGCCGCTTTGCTTCAACATTGCTTTCTTTCGTAGGAGCCGCAACTCGTCCAGCCTCTTCTCGTAGTCAATGTAAGCCACGAAATCTTCTTTTAACGGACTCGGCCTCTTCAGCCGATACTCGAACTTCCGGCGCTGCTTCACAATCTCGGCTATCTCCCGCCGATTAAACAAACCACGCTGCTCTAAATCGTCCAGCTCGTTCAGCATTCGCTCCAGCTTGTACTGTACGACGTCCGCCATTTTGCCCTTGTCTTCTCTTCCTTTTCGTTTAGTTTTTCTCTCTGTTTGCCGTTTGTTTTGGCAAGGGGTTTTGGAAAAGTGGAAAGGGTTTTAGGTTACCAATTCAGATTGGGGATGATGAGGAAGAGACGCAGACCATTTGGGCTTGTTTTATGGGCCTATGAGAACGCCTTTAAGTCATGGTCTTAGGAATTTACTGTAATTAAATAAAATTACGAGGACTATTTACTGGAGTGGCATTCAAAAATTCCGGCTTCTCTCACTAATAATAATACTATTGAGTTTCCCTTTGGCAGATGTGAGTTGGTCATTTCCAGTGTTTGAAACACTGATCATAGGATGGGCTTTTATTTTTTGCCTTCTTGGTGGGTGGGTTGTCATGATTGAACATGTACAAGAAAGATAGAAGGTGACACTTTTTTCAAGTAATCATTGAATAGTGTTAGTACTACTTTTCTATATTGATGTGTTCTTAGAGTTTCGAAATGGAAACTATTGGAATTCAAAGGTCATTCTTTGCCTTAACAAACAACAGGTGAGAAGTAACAAATCTTTTTGTCATTGTAGAAAACAATCACCTTTTTCCTTTAGTCATTTGTCTAGCTAACTGCCCGGAACGAGCCTGTGGAACTGAAAGCTCTATCAAGGGAAGACACTTTTGTGGTCATTTAGGTTTAATTGTTTTATGAGATACACTAAAATTGTAAAGAAAACGATCGTGAGCCACAAACTAAAACATATTTTCTGTTAGTTTTCCAACTTAATTAAAGTGGCGGTTGAATAAAATTCAAAATAAGAAAAAAGAAATATTGAAATACATATTATAAAACAAAGATGTTCATCTTAAAAACTGATACAAATTATATTCCTTTATAAAAATTCATTTATCGAAATTTATCCATAAAAAATAAATTGGAAATTCCATTACAAACAACCTAGTATGATAAATAATACTCCCTCTATCCCATAATTATTGTCCAGTTTGAGTTTTTATTTTTAGTTCAAATTATACTGAAAATGAAATCTCAAATAGGAGAATAATTTTGGAACATAAGGAGTAAAAAACGGTAAAGTCTTATTAATTATCGAATACCTCACGAGTTTCACAGTTTATTAAAAAAAATAAATAAATTCTAATAAATAGCCTTAACCGGCCAGACTTGAAAATAGGCATACCTAAGGTTTCAGTTCGCACCGGAGCCAAACCATAACCAAACCGGATCATAAGGTTTCTGTTTTTGAACCGTTTCCAAAAGTTCTAAAATCGTATTGTATTGGTAGTTCAGTTAAAATTCTATTAGTTTTAAAATCGTAAACCAACGGTTCTAACCGTCAGTTTTGAATCGTATAAACCGTCAATTCAATCTTCGATTAAACTGTATTCCGCTATTTTAATCATTTTTTACTTACAAAAAATTAAGTTTAAACAGTACCTCTCACCAACTTCTTCCCACCACCACAAACATGCAATTCTTATTCACTACTGCTTCATCATTCATATGGTCTTTATCTTATACTTTTATCAATATAAAACAACTCAAAAAAGAGAAATCATAAAAGGGTCACTAATATTAATATCAAAAACAAATTCAAATATAAGAAGACTAAACTGTCTAAATGGTCCTTTACATTTGGGCCTACTTGAATTTACGTCCCTTACATTAACATTTCAATATCGTAGTCCCAAACATTATGTTTTCACACTTTTTTGGTCCCATTTCACTGTTTCCGGCCGTTGACATTCTGGAATCAGGGGTATTTTTATCTTTTAATTTAATTTAAATTTTAATAAAAAATTAAATCATTAAATTTTTTTAAAATTCAGATTTCATTATTTAATTATTAAAATATTATTTATTAATTAGAAATATTATTACAAAATTTTTAAATTTACATTATTTTTAAATTTAATTTTTTCGTTTATCATTTATCTTAGGTCAAAGTAAATAGTAATTATGTTGCACTTTTAACCTTGGACCTACTATAACTTAAAAAATTTACCGAGTTTTGGTAAATAATTCAAAATTCAATTTCTTAAAAAAAAAAAAAAGCAAAACTAAGATTTTTTTTACTCTGACCGCTACAGTAAACCCTAAATGGTAATTATGTTACACTTTTAACCTTGTACCCACTGCAACTTAAAAAATATACCGAGTTACAGTAAATAATTCAATTTTTCAAGAACACTAGAAACATAGATAGTTAAACGGCATAGTTTGTAGGACTGATACATAAAACAATTGGTAATAATAACCATAACAAAGAAGACTAAATTTGAGCTATTTGAATACAAGCTCATACTTTTATCCTGCCTATATTATCGGTTTCGACCAAAGGAAGAAAAGGCCAAATAGACGATAGTGTCAAAGGGTGGTACTCCACCACTCCGCCGAACTTAGAACAAAATGGAAAACCATAATCATCATCGAGGTAACAAGGGAATGTTTCCAACTGCTGGGTATCTAAATGGTAGATGAAATATCTTTTTTCCCATCTCACGAAAATACAGTTTGATCTTCCTGGAACAAATGATACAACTGCAAATGCTGTTTTGGGCCTCTGGTGGTTCGGCATAATTGTAGCCGACGACGACGACGACGCGGGTAGTAACACGTCTAAATTGTTGATCCAAATAGAATCAAGAACCACCCGGTAGCACAATTTCCATGGATCAATAGTGGAGGAATTAGTTTCGGTAGAGTTGTGATTAAGAAGAACCCAGACTTTGAAGCATGTTGAAGTGCCAGCAACGTACCGAAGAAAGCCTTGAGGGGAGGCGTCAAAAGATTCAGCAAAAAGACAGATAATAGTTGGAGTGTCTTCGTCATACTCTGCTCCGCTGCACCCCTCACCAACCTGTGGGAGTTGAATAAAATTGACCATGCGCCTCCTCCCATTAGTATGATGAGGAGCTATATGGCTGTAGCCGCCATCTACGATTTGTAGCCGCCAATAGACGACATCCTCAATCACCTTCACAACAAACCCACTTTGGAGTCCAAAACGAGTAGGGCAAGTGAGCACGGATTGCTCCCACTCTCCAGTAACTGAAGAGAAGGTCTGAATCAACAATGCGGCGTTACCGGCATTCGCAACTATCACCTTAAACTGATGCTGCTGCTGCTGCTCCAAGATGGCTGTGGAGATATTCTTAGAATAATACTTGGGAGGTGGAGGCAATTTGATGCGTTGCCGGGTTACCAGATCAGACACATAATATTTCCTTGGATGAACAGCCGATAATATGAAGCGGCCGTTGGGTGTGGCGGCCAGGAAATAACCCACCCTCTTCATCAATTTGCTTCGGTTTATAGCCCGCCCTATTTCGCTCGTAGCCAACAATTGAACTGATGGCGGTAAAGGAGCCACTTTCGAGGAATATCGGTGTACCCCGGCTTGCAAATCATGAATCCCACCATTGTGGAACCCTCAATTTCCCATCTCCTCGTGTAATCTTTCCGGAAAGAATGACTCGTTATCAATTCCAGCCATTCCTTGGAAACTAGCATGTATCTGAAGATATATTTGGGTGACACTCTTAGGAGAATCTCGTACCAAATATCCTGGTTCGCTGACAAAATTGGATTATAGGACCAAGTCATCATTCCCGTTACACAATTAAGATTAACAAAAGATAGGCCTTTTTCCCAATGTACATAAAAAACTATTCATACGGCCTTTTTATAGAGATACATACTGCCGAACCATGACCGATTCCTACTTGTAATCGTTCTTGACCACTCATGCCCAGGAACCATGACCGATTCCGACTTGTAATCGTTCTTGACCACTCATGCCCAAAGAAGAATTAGTAAATTGCGGAGAAGAGCCATCAACTATTGGAAAATACTCCTTAAACATTAAATTGCATCAAACACCTCCAAGTCTTTATTTTATTTTATTTTTCTTTAAAAAAAAAAAAAGTTTAACCCAGCTGTACCAGATCTGTTACTACAATAATCCGTAATTTATCACAACTGTTATAGTAGTCATGGACTCACGTCATACATGCGCTGATCATTGATGAGTACAAAACAAGCAGCGCAGTCCACACCATTTCTCATTACTGCAAGTCTGCAAGGATCGTTATGAGCCGGCTTTCATTAGATACACTAATTTGGTGAACATTAACTTGCAATGTGTTTCTCAGCTAGTTTTGGAATTTTGCTCGCGTTAAATCTTTAATGTTTTGACCCCATCCCAGGAAGCAATGAGGAAATATTCACTGGAGACAGCCAAACTTGAACCTAAATACGTACCTCCAGAACGCTTACATTCATCCTGTTTTAATTGATAACATCTACAAAAGTCAAAACAGATACCCTTTATATATTCCTCTTGCCCTTTGCATTCCATCTCTCTACAGGACTTAATCAACAACGGTGGAAGACAAGGAAAATTCCCCCATGTTTGGCCAAGGAAACCATGGAGACTTCTATTAGCTTCTCAGAATAACTTCTGTGATAAGCAAAATATTTGAAGGCCTGTATTACGCACAAGATAAATGCATCACATAGAGATCCTCTAGCAATCAGCTGTTTAGTTATCATATTCATACATTTGAAAAAACCTAATACCAAAGCTTCAGCATACCATAAGCCACAAGGCTTCAGATTTTGAACTGGCCTCCTCGGTAAGGACATTTTTCAGGAAATCAAACAGGGACGACAAATTATCCTTGCTCGGGTTATCTAGACATCTCATGTTGATTGAAATATACAATGTCCATAATGGCAGAGAATAAGAACACGTTCCTGAGCAAAACTTTTCACAAAGTTTTTTTCCTTCATCTAGTTTCCTCAGTTTCCAATAATAAGGTAACATGCTGACAAGCAAGATCCCCAGAGAGCAACCCCAAGTTTTCTGCTTTTTCATATACCCTCAATAAATGAAAAACAGGATCTGTGAGTTGTCCAGGTTCACCGGAATCAGCTGAAGTTTGGGTGTCTGAAAATTTGTGACTGATGGCATCCACTAAGAACTTCACATAAAAGTTGAACAAAGGAACTGAAGACAGAACCCTCAAACCCTCCTCGTATAACTACACATATCAGAACTAAGATTAGTGGAGAAAGTATTTTCTTGCCAAGGGACTACAGGACAAAATTTTTAAAACCAGATAACTTTAAAACCCTATGACACACGGACTATCGACAAGATAAGAAACAGACAAACATGTTCACCTAATGAACAAGACAGTCATTCTAAAATGCTCTATCAGTTTTGGGACAAAAGACTCAAACATCCAGCTACATTTTCGAGAATTTACGATGGATGCTTTCATTAAACATCACCACTATACAGAAATGACACAATAAGGGCATCACAGTTGTTCAGCATCACTCAATTTTTAAACTACAGCAAAGACAAAATCCTGAAGCAAATTTTCTATCCTGGGAAACAATAAAAAGACACTGTAGGCAACATGCAACCATTAAACAAATGAAGCTGATGAGAACAAGTATACTATGCAAACAAAATTCTTAGTGTCTTTTCTGTTAATGTTCAAATGAAGTACAACTGCATGAACAAAATGGAACTATACCTCAACACTTTTGAGAAGTCCCTTTGTAAGTCTGCTAGTATCTCATCCCGCATACTATCTGACCGAGCTAAGTCTGTTGCATCTAGGATCTCAAGAAATCTAATTCTTAACCCAAAACTGGAAGGGTGCGCTTCAATTGCCCCACTATAAATTGTTTGAAAAATGCTCAAACCTTGTTTTCGAAGGAGATCTACATCCTCATTTGACTTCTCATCGGCATTTTTGTCGTCAAGCTCCATAAAAAGTTAACCGCTCTCATTTCTCCATTGCATCTCAGCATTAACTTTGGCATCGCGCAGTAATGTTTCATCATCCTCTCCCAAAGCAACCTTTTGAGCCTTTAACTTATTTAGATATGTGAGCTCCATGGGGAGGTATTCTACCCATAGATCCTCAGAATTTGGACAAGCTCCCAAACCTCTTTGCATGAGAGCACGACCAGCTGCAGCATTCAAATTGTGGTCAAACTCCCATGCAGCAGCATATATCCACACCCCAGGCACTTTTGGATGAAATCTAATAACTTGGGCCAGTGCTTACAACAAAAAGAAACAAATTTAAATACAGTTAGCCACCAACCAGTCACCCAATTAGCACCATAAAAATCACAATACTCAGTGCATATACAAAATACCAACCATGCACAAATGTAGCTGAAATCCTGCTAAGGATTACGATAAGTGACCATATAAACATAAATTTAGCTGTCATTTCCTCAGTATTTTGGGCTCTATGCCAACTTCATTTTGCTCTGGGTTAGATGCTTAGAACAATTAATGAATCCAATTTCCCCAAAAAATTAAAAATAAAATCTATCTTCATAGTTCATACAAAAATAACTGATTACAGCATCTGGAGAATTTTTCTCTTCAATTACAAAAATTATTCAAGTAACTAAACAGACACACAACAAAAGAAATGCAGCTTCCGCTTCATTCATGCATCTCAATCATACCAAAGCTGCACCACTCCATACACAATTTAATTTCAAATTTACATACCTACAAAAAAAAATCATCACAATCTAATACGAGGTGAAGAACAAAAGTTTCTAGTTTTTCTAACCTTTTTCATTCTCCCATTGCGTTTTTGCCTACAGAATTCTAAATACTGAAATCAGAGCTGAATATCTCCCTTAAATCTAGTTGTAGCCAGCCGATATATATCAACGATTCTCGCTGTTCCGGCGGAGTCCGACACTGATTTCTTCCAATTTTTGCTCTTCCCGCCGCTTTGCTTCAACATTGCTTTCTTTCGTAGAAGCCGCAACTCGTCCAGCCTCTTTTCATAGTCAATGTAAGCCACAAAATCTTCTTTCAACGGACTCGGCCTCTTCAGCCGATACTCGAACTTCCGGCGCTGCTTCACTATCTCGGCTATCTCCCGCCGATTAAACAAACCACGCCGCTCTAAATCGTCCAGCTCATTCAGCATTCGCTCCAGCTTGTACTGTACGACGTCCGCCATTTTTGCCCTTTCCTTCCTTTCTTTTTCCTTTCTGTTTTTTTCTCTGTTCTGCTTTTTGTTTTGGTGAGGGGTTTCGGGAAACGGGGAAGGGTTTTAGGTTTCCTATTGATTGGGGACGACGAGGAAGAGAGTATAGACCATTTGGGCCTGTTTATGGGCTATGGCAATGCTTTATGTTGTTGGATTTGATTAGACAAGTCAAGCCTTGTCCAAATAAAGCTTGGGCCCTTTCTTGTTGGATACACGCGATTCCAGAGAAATAAAAAATGTGTTCAATTCCAGTTCGTTTTGGACAATTATGTCTCTAAACTCTTTCTTCTTCTTCAACATACACTAATTACATTAATTATAAATAAATTTAACTAAATTAATTGAACAATATCAAAAAATATAAAACTAAAGTAATTATACAGCAAAATAATGATAACAAAAAATAATATAAAAAACACAAAAAATTAGAAAAAGAAAAGGTAAGGGCGATCGGCCACCCTGGGCAAAGAAAAAATTCAACTTTTTTTTTTAATTTTTTTTAATTGTTATTATTTTTTTATATTTACTTTAAGTTTTATTTTTTGTGTTATATTTACTGATTAATAAAATTTTTGATTTAATTGAATGTATTAGGTATAATTATTTTATTTGAATAATTAATGTAGATTAAATGGAGAAATTAGGTATAATAAGTTTTTTATTGTTATTATTATAATAATTTATTTATTATATTCAAATAAAGAATGCACTAGATATTATATTAAAATTGTATGATAAATATATTTTGACTAGGTTTTTATAATTAGATATTGATATTTAGTTAGTATTAATTTGTAGGCTTAAATAATTATTGTTTACGTAAATGAATTAGTTATTTTTGTTATATTTTGAGTAAATTAATTATAACTAAATAACACAACATTAACTAATTACATTAATGATAAATAAATTTAACTAAATTAATGGAACAATAACACAAAATATAAAACTAAAGTAATTATACAAAAAAATAATGATAACAAAAAAATAATATAAAAACTTACTCACCGGCCAACCGAGAAGAAGTGGCCGCTTCTTCACGGTTGGTCGGTGGCCGGCCCGACGACAGGCCATCCTAGGCCAAAAAAAAAAAAAAATCAAAATTTTTTTTAAATTTTTTTTTGAGTAATTGTCATTTTTTTTTATATTTACTTTAGTTTTATTTTTTGTGTTGTATTTACTGATTTAATAATATTTTTGATTTAATTTAATTTATTATGTATAATTAACTAATTTTCCAAAAATTAATGAAAGTACTTGATTTAGGGCTCGTATGGACAACTTTTTAGTTTTTTTTAAGATTTGGAATGTAATTTAAATATGTTTTGAATGAAAATTTAAAAACATACAGCGAAACCTTCCTAAATTAATCCTCTATAAATTAATAATTTTTATAAAGTAATATTTTTCGCCGGTCTCAACTCGGGACCAGTACAAAAAATTAAAATACTCGATTACTATTTACAGTGGGCCCAAAGTTAAAAGTGCAACATAATTACTATTTACTGTGTACTTAAAGTAAATAGTAAATAAAAAAAATAATTTTGAAAATAATGATAAATTTTAAAATTGTACAATAATATTTTTAATTAATAAATAATATTTTAACAATTAAATAATGAAATTTTAATTTTAAAATATTTTTAATGAATAAAAATTTAAATTAAATTAAAAGACAAAAATACCCCTGATTCCAGCATGTCAACGGTCGGAAACAGTAAAATGAGACCAAAAAAGTGTGAAAACATAATGTTTGGGACTACGACATTGAAATGTTAATGTAAGGGACGTAAATTCAAGTAGGCCCAAATGTAAGGGACCATTTAGACAGTTTAGTCATCTAAGAAATAATAAATATAATACATTTTACATTAGGTACTTTCCCTTATTTTACACATTTTACATACGAATATACGATACACATATCTTCAACGTAGTTTTCTCTCTTAAACCATGCACGTACTAACTTAAGTATTGGAGTGCTAACTTCTTTTTTTTTTTTTTTTGTTGGTTCTATGTATTATTCTCTCTTAAATCATCAGCTATTTGAGCTCTAAATATTCTTGTGAATTTCGACTTCAACACTAACTTTTTAAATTTCTTTTAGCATAGTTTTTTTTTTTTAAAAAAAAATGACATAGACCATCCCTTTATTCATATAATGTTTGTAATGATTGTTTGTTGATTTGGGTAAGTCTTAAGTATTGCATATATATTATTATATACAATAGAACGTCAATAAATTAATAATCTATAAATTAATAATTTTTAACAATTAATAATATTCTCCGGTCTCAACTTGGAACCAGTACAAAAAGGGATAAAAATCGATAAAATGATAATATAATAATATTTCAGAAAATTTCCTATATATCTATAGGTCCCAACAATACCATAAATTAATAAATCCCATAACAACAAAAAATAATAATAATTTCTATAATATATTCAGTAAAAAATGAACTATCAATACTTGTTTTTTAGTTCCTGGAGATGATATGAACTATGTATAGATTTTTAGTGTTCAAAATAGTTTTAATGCTTCACTAATTCGGACGTAAAGACAACTACAAATTAAGTAATTTATCCATTATTTAATAATTCGACATATTAATAAATTTTACTTGTCCCAACCCTATTAATTTATAAAAGTTCTACTGTAGTTTAAATTTATGATATACACGTCCTTTGTCCTTTTTTAAAAATATAAAACACTTCAGAGTTTGTTTGGACGTCCATTCCATTTTGCATTTTGTCTCATTTTACCTCTTAAACACAAAACTCAATGAAAAAAAATCCAAACAACAGTCTGATTTACATTTTAAATTCCAACTCGAAACACTTTTTGTTAGTGTAATAACCATTTTAAAACTAAAAATATTTCAGTGAGCAAATCTAAACAATTCACAAGGTCTTGTTTGGCCAACTCTATATTTTGCATTTTGTCTCATTTTTGTCTACCACCACCGGACCACCTCCACCACCAGCGCCAACACCGGACCGCCGCCGGCTGGTGGTCTGATGGCGGCGCCGGTGGTGAAGGTGGTGGTCTATTTTATTTAAATATTATTCAAACAAAATGTTGTCAAAACAAGCCCTCGTAGTTCAGTGACCATTTTGACCATTTGTAGTTCAAAATATTTTTTTCAAAACCAACATCCAAACAACTTTTTGCTCAAAATACCATCCAAAAAACATTTTCATTTCTCATTTAGTTTTCAACTTGAAACACTTTTCACTTTTAAGTGACAAAATGAAATGTAAGCTGACGTCCAAACAAACGCTGAGTTTCTAACTCCACATTCCATATCACGTTTCCTAGAAAAAAATTTATTAAACAAAAAAAATTTGATGGAAAAAAATATTGTAACCAAAATCGGCACAACTTGGAAACAAAACCAAAAGTTTAATAGAATCGAAACCAAACCGGAACTGTTCTCGAACTGTAACTGGAACCATGGTATAAAGGGCCGATTCCGGTTCTTAATTTTATTAAACCGAAATCGACGGTTCTAGAACCAGAACCGACAGTTTCAGAACCATGAACATGCCTACTTGAAAGTAAAACAAGGAGAAGTCCAATTTTTTCCTTTCAAAAAATCTCCAATTTTTTCCTTTAAGACCCAAGAATGAACCGAATGACTCACTATCTAATTTAGGAATCACATATGACCCGGGGTTGCACATTTTGTCTACGTCTCCTGCACCAATATTACAAAAACTAGAAATAGATCATCCGAACTCAACTCTAGTTGTTTTGTAACAAAGTTTCGGCTTTCCCAGTATATATATAAAAAAAAAAATTTTAAAAAAAATCAAAGTAAAAGTTTTTCAAAAAATACTCTTCACCTATATGCCGAGTCAGACTCCCTCGTCATAAGGTTATTTGGCGCGAATAGGATCTCTCTCCCTTTCTATCACACACACTCAAAAATGGCACAAAATTTTCTCTGACCCTAGAATTAGCGGCCCCCGCCCCCACAAATCACAATCACCCACCCTTTCATCTACGACGAATGAACCTAAAAATGGTTCGCTGGGATTCGGTGGTTTCTATAGCCTCTTGTTTGATTCAAGGATCCCGTTTGCATCCTGTAAAAAAGAGGGGCTCTACTATTTGGTCAGAGGAAGTGAAGCGATGCCGCAGAAAAATAGAAACAAATGTGACCGCGCCGCCGAAGATTGGGGTGGTGGGCGGCGGCGGCGGTTGCGGAGACTGATCGGATTTTGGCAGAGCGTGGTACCCGAACCCGATTCACACTCCCCACCGGGTCGTTTTTGACTTTTTTTTTATTTGGTCAATCCTACTAACACATTCCCTCCAAAAATAACCGTTTGATATTGTTTTTCTTTGACAACAGGCAAGTTCTTTTCCTTCTTACCTTCAAGATTGAAGACTCTGGAGTGCTTCCTCATCCTATTCTTGCCCATTACTCATTCTATTCTGAGGCAATTGTCATTTAATATTTTCCTTTCTTTGGTTATCTTGGAAATCCTTTTCCCAATATAAGTCCTCTTGCCTGTGTTCTTATGGACTGGTTTAGTTTTTGTCCCATCAGCACTTAACACACCTTCTTATTTGACCCCGCATCGGATTTCTTGATAGTTTGTACGTGAGCTCCTGATTTCAAGGCCTTCAGACTCTGGGTTGGTCATCATTGCTCCTTCAGTCTCTTACTTGTTCATCATCAAGCTCTTTCTTTTCCCCTTTACTTCTTGATCATCAAGGTCTTTTCTTTTCTCCATCAGCAACCCATTCACAAACAAACCGGTTTCAGGTAATGATTCCCTTCCTTCTGGGTCAGTCTCTATCCCCCTCAATTATCTTCTCTATTACCCGAATGATCATTTTTTTTCCCGTTTCTGTTTTATGGTTTGATGATTCTAGTCGAAGCAGAGTCAAAGAAAAGAAGGAACTGCCTGAGTGCCCCTTCAATTATTCTTCCTCGTCTACTTCACTGCAAGAATGTAAATTTCTTTCCCCCTTGCATCTGATAATCAAGATTCCTCCTTTGAAGAAATAGTCAATAAATTTACTCAAAAAAGTTTCCAGAAGAACTGAGATTTTTAATACCGGTGATCTTATTTCCACTGTTATTTCAAGATATAGTGGACTTACAAATACTTTGTTACTTATAAATCTTTTTTTATTTCCACTGTTTTCTACTGTTTTTCATAATGACTATTCTGAAGTGGTTTTTGGGAATCTGAAAGAGGGGTGGTACTAATCAGCTAACATAAACTGGTTCAAGTTTTTGAATTGAAATTGGTCCTCTTATTTTTGCAGTTTAAAAGAGCCTAGAGATTTTGCAGAGAAACATCAGATAATGGTACATTGCTCTTTTTTTCTTTTTTTTTTTAATTTCACACAAAAAGGTCCTTTTGTTTGTACTTATTGTTCCATATTCATTTGTAGGCTGAGGAGTATAAAACAAGAAGGTGCTATCCGAAATGCTCAAGCATACCACAAGAATGCAAGGTTCTCAGCTATACATTATTTGAGTGTTGTTTAAGTTTCGTTTTTAGATTATACAATATTTATTTTTTTGTTTGGTGCAGAATGTTCATCAGCCAAACGAATTCCGCTTAGGGAAATGCCCCCGCGTATTGCTCAAATATAAAACGGAATGGTGTCGTTTCATTGATAAGAATGAGATATGCCCATATGGGCCCAGATGTTGGGTAAGTAAACCTAGTTAACATTCTTATAATCTATAATCTCTTGCAACTTGTAACAAAAAATAAAGTGAAATTTTAACACTTCAGTTTGTTTTTTACTTCTCTTCAGTATGCTCATACTGCTGCGGAAAAAAGGTCTGATCTAGACAAAAAGGACAATGTCGTTTGCCCTGCATATGCTGCAATCGGAGAGTGCTACTTCACTGAGCAAAAGTTACCTTGCTTTTACAAGCATCCCTCTAGGATCAGGCAGGGGTAAATGAAGATGAGAGGTATGTCTCTTCTCACTGTAGGCTTGTTGCTGTCTTTTCTCAACAAGTGAACATTAGATTCGTAGTAATAGCATTGCTGCTTTAGTTCCGGCTGTTCTACTTCCAGTCATTTGTTTCTTTCTGTTGTGGTGATGCAGTCCTGCCTCACCTATCTAGTAACACATTGAGGAAAAAATTATCGAGTTCATTGTTGACAAGTTTTAGGAGTTTGGAGTTATCCTTTTTGCTGTTAACATGTATGCTGGAAAACACTACCAACTGAATGTCTCTGTTTTGGTTCATCAGTGATTGGAAAAAGAATAGTTTCTGGAAACCAGTGCTTTTCATGGTATATAGGCAGAGTCTACAATAATCATAGTCCAGTTTAAGTAACAGCCTTAAGGAGAGTCCATTAAATCCTATCCAATTAGAGAACCCAGAGGGGAGGTGGAGTTTACTTGTGCTGCTGTGTACTGTGCATCACTTGTTGCATTTTAGTTCTACCAGTTAAGTAGTGTACTGGAGTCAATCAAGTTGTTCAATTTTAAGACATTTTTAGCACTCTTATCTAGTAACACATTTGCTATTAACAAGCGTGTGTGTGTGTGTGATTTGAAACAAAATGCGTAAGAAAATTGGATGTAACTGAATAGTAGTTAAGTGGCCCTCTTCAGAAGATTCATCGAGAGAAAATTTTTTCAAACGCTTATATATATGTATAGATAAATGACAAGTAAGAACTTTTAGCATCATGAAATTTTAGGTGTTTAAGAAGTTTTGGAGCTTTTGGTTGTCAAGTATGATTGTTATAAAAATAAGAGATGGAACGTGTTTGAGCTCTGCACCATATGTGACTGATGTTTCTTCTAATATCTTGTTTGATTACTGATTGAATTCGCAGAAGCTGTTTTCGTTTACATCGTTTAGTTTGGGGTATTGTGCCTTTGTGTTGTAGCTTGTTTCATTCTTCTGCTCTCTTTGTCACTTTTGAACCTATGCTCTCCTTTTCCCAAATAGAGGACTTTTTTTTCCAGTGTTTGTTGCATTGATTTCGAAATGAATTCTTGAGACTCGTCTTCGACAATTTGCATAGCAGAGTAAATTGGTAGTGCCTGTTAGTTATTTTTGTAGCCATAGCAGAGTAAATTGGTAGTGCCTGTTAGTTATTTTTGTAGCCCTATGAATTGATATTTGTGGTTTGTAGTGAATTTTGTTTTGTGTTAAGAGTTCTAGTTGCCCTCTCCTTGCAGGTACTTGCAGCCGAAAAAAGAGAAAAAAGCTTGATAAAATGGTTCCTCCTACCTTTGTCCTGTTCTGTATTTTTCCATTCAGTTGCTTAGTGGTTGCTGCCACTTTTTTGAAATCATATGTAAGTGGTTTTAAATTACATGACCACTACTAGTAAATTCTATCCTATTGATGTATTAACTAGTGGTTTACTGCCAAGTTGGTCATGTTCAGTTACAACTCGAGATTTGGAAATTGTATATTTTGAATAATTTGCTCTGAGATTCTGAACTACGGGGAGTGCACAAGTATAACTAATGTCCAGGAGTTGAAAATTGCATTTTTGATCTAATAAGGAATGGTCTAATAATGGTTTTTGAAAATCGCTCTATTTGTTTTTGGTGTAATAAGAAATGGTCATTCTTGTCTACGCACAAAACAAAATCGCATTGATGCCTATTGGAGTCACTATTGCATGGTAATTGGCAACAACACTAACTAAAGCATGGTAATTGGCAACAACACTAACTAAATGATAGGACTACCAAAAGGTATCAGGAGGCATAGTATCCTTGTTAACATTTTAGTCGCGGTTGGAAGCATATCAAGTATGTGTATGTTAAATAGTAGTTTGAGTGTGTCATTGTGTATATTTGGAAAATCTACCCAAGGGAATTGAGTGTGTAATTGTGTATACGGAGTGTTTGGTAAATCCACCCAAGGGAATTGACCTGTAGGGATGGTTTGGAAATCACTTGTGGAGGAGTTTGTGTAAATTCTAAGCTCTTCTGTTGAGGGGAGTTTTGTTTGTAGATAGTCTAGATAGGAGGAAAAGAAAATTTCAGTTTATCATTCTTCTATCTAAAGTAGAGAAAGAAACTGCAGAGTCCAAACTGAAACAGACTAAATGAGAGAAATCGGGGGAGGGGAGGATAGCCACGATTTTTCAAGAACACTAGAAACATAGATAGTTAAACGGCATAGTTTGTAGGACTGATACATAAAACAATTGATAATAATAACCATAACAAAGAAGACTAAATTTGAGCTATTTGAATACAAGCTCATACTTTTATCCTGCCTACATTATCGGTTTCGACCAAAGGAAGAAAAGGCCAAATAGACGATAGTGTCAAAGGATGGTAATCCACCACCCCGCCGAACTTAGAACAAAATGGAAAACCATAATCATCATCGAGGTAACAAGGAAATGTTTCCAACTGCTGGGTATCTAAATGGTAGATGAAATATCTTTTTTCCCATCTCACGAAAATACAGTTTGATCTTCCTGGAACAAATGATACAACTGCAAATGCTGTTTTGGGCCTCTGGTGGTTCGGCATAATTGTAGCCGACGACGACGACGACGCGGGTAGTAACACGTCTAAATTGTTGATCCAAATAGAATCAAGAACCACCCGGTAGCACAATTTCCATGGATCAATAGTGGAGGAATTAGTTTCGGTAGAGTTGTGATTAAGAAGAACCCAGACTTTGAAGCATGTTGAAGTGCCAGCAACGTACCGAAGAAAGCCTTGAGGGGAGGCGTCAAAAGATTCAGCAAAAAGACAGATAATAGTTGGAGTGTCTTCGTCATACTCTGCTCCGCTGCACCCCTCACCAACCTGTGGGAGTTGAATAAAATTGACCATGCGCCTCCTCCCATTAGTATGATGAGGAGCTATATGGCTGTAGCCGCCATCTACGATTTGTAGCCGCCAATAGACGACATCCTCAATCACCTTCACAACAAACCCACTTTGGAGTCCAAAACGAGTAGGGCAAGTGAGCACGGATTGCTCCCACTCTCCAGTAACTGAAGAGAAGGTCTGAATCAACAATGCGGCGTTACCGGCATTCGCAACTATCACCTTAAACTGATGCTGCTGCTGCTGCTCCAAGATGGCTGTGGAGATATTCTTAGAATAATACTTGGGAGGTGGAGGCAATTTGATGCGTTGCCGGGTTACCAGATCAGACACATAATATTTCCTTGGATGAACAGCCGATAATATGAAGCGGCCGTTGGGTGTGGCGGCCAGGAAATAACCCACCCTCTTCATCAATTTGCTTCGGTTTATAGCCCGCCCTATTTCGCTCGTAGCCAACAATTGAACTGATGGCGGTAAAGGGAGCCACTTTCGAGGAATATCGGTGTACCCCGGCTTGCAAATCATGAATCCCACCATTGTGGAACCCTCAATTTCCCATCTCCTCGTGTAATCTTTCCGGAAAGAATGACTCGTTATCAATTCCAGCCATTCCTTGGAAACTAGCATGTATCTGAAGATATATTTGGGTGACACTCTTAGGAGAATCTCGTACCAAATATCCTGGTTCGCTGACAAAATTGGATTATAGGACCAAGTCATCATTCCCGTTACACAATTAAGATTAACAAAAGATAGGCCTTTTTCCCAATGTACATAAAAAACTATGCATACGGCCTTTTTATAGAGATACATACTGCCGGAACCATGACCGATTCCTACTTGTAATCGTTCTTGACCACTCATGCCCAGGAACCATGACCGATTCCGACTTGTAATCGTTCTTGACCACTCATGACCGATTCCGGCGCTGCTTCACTATCTCGGCTATCTCCCGCCGATTAAACAAACCACGCCGCTCTAAATCGTCCAGCTCATTCAGCATTCGCTCCAGCTTGTACTGTACGACGTCCGCCATTTTTGCCCTTTCCTTCCTTTCTTTTTCCTTTCTGTTTTTTTCTCTGTTCTGCTTTTTGTTTTGGTGAGGGGTTTCGGGAAACGGGGAAGGGTTTTAGGTTTCCTATTGATTGGGGACGACGAGGAAGAGAGTATAGACCATTTGGGCCTGTTTATGGGCTATGGCAATGCTTTATGTTGTTGGATTTGATTAGACAATCAAGCCTTGTCCAAATAAAGCTTGGGCCCTTTACTTGTTGGATACACTTGATTACAGAGAAATAAAAAATGTGTTCAATTCCAAATCGTTTTGGACAATTATGTCTCTAAACTCTTTCTTCTTTTTCAACATACACTAATTTTTCAACATACACTAATTATATCAATTATAAATAAATTTAACTAGATTAATTGAACAATAAAAAAATATAAAACTAAAGTAATTATACAAAAAAATAATGATAACAAAAAATAATATAAAAATAACACAAAAAATTAGAAAAAGAAAAGGTAAGGGCGATCGGCCACCCTGGGGAAAGAAAAAATTCAAGTTTTTTTTAAATTTTTTTAATTGTTATTATTTTTTTATATTTACTTTAAGTTTTATTTTTTGTGTTATATTTACTGATTTAATAAAATTTTTAATTTAATTGAATTTATTAGGTATAATTAATTTATTTGAATAATTAATGTAGATTAAATGGAGAAATTAGGTATAATAAGTTTTTTATTATTATTATTATAATAATTTATTTATTATATTCAAATAAAGAATGCACTAGATATTATATTAAAATTTTATGATAAATATATTTTGAGTAGGTTTTTATAATTAGATATGTGATATTTAGTTAGTATTAATTTGTAGGCTTTAATAATTATTGTTTACGTAAATGAATTAGTTATTTTTGTTATATTTTGAGTAAATTAATTATAACTAAATAACACTACATAAACTAATTACATTAATTATAAATAAATTTAACTAAATTAATGGAACAATAACACAAAATATAAAACTAAAGTAATTATACAAAAAAATAATATAAAAATTTACTCACCGGCCAACCGAGAAGAAGTGGCCGCTTCTTCACGGTTGGTCAGTCTTCAAAGGGTGGCCGGCCCGACGGCAGGCCATCCTAGGCAAAAAAAGAAAAAAAAATCAATTTTTTTTTAAATTTTTTTTGAGTAATTGTCATTATTTTTTTATATTTACTTTAGTTTTATTTTTTGTGTTGTATTTACTGATTTAATATTATTTTTAATTTAATTGAATTTATTATGTATAATTAACTAATTTTCCAAAAATTAATGAAAGTACTTGATTTAGGGCTCGTATGGACAACTTTTAGTTTTTTTTAAGATTTGGAATGTAATTTAAATATGTTTTGAATGAAAATTTAAAAACATACAGCGAAACCTTCCTAAATTAATCCTCTATAAATTAATAATTTTTATAAAGTAATATTTTTCGCCGGTCTCAACTCGGGACCAGTACAAAAAATTAAAATACTCGATTAATTTATTACATAATAATTTTTCAAGAATATCCTATGTAAATAAGGTCCTCACAATTTCATAAATTAATAAATACCTATAATAATAAATTATATTTGAAGAGTAACTTTGATTTTGACTTAATTATATTTGTTTATGTTTGTATTTATCATATTTTTGTTCCATTAATAAAATTTATAATGTTAAAATTAGGGCTCAAACGAACTTTTCTTGATACAAAAAATATTAATTTTTTTTGATTTCATACTGTTTGGGTTGAAAAAAACTCTTTAAATTAATAAAATATTAATTTATCGATAAATTAATAAATTTTTGGAGACCCAAGTTTATTAATTTAGGGAGGTTTTACTGTATATGAATAGTGTTTTGGGGATACAATTATATTGTGATTCATAACACCTAGACCATCTCTGGCGCCATCTCCCACTATCTGTTGGCTTGATTCCGGTCAATTTCCTGCAGTGGTGCGCCTCTGGTGGTGGTTGAAAATTGTGTAAAAATAAGTTTTAAAATAAATTTTAAAATTTTTAAGTTAAATTGTTATATGGATTATGAATTTTTTTTTTTAGATTACTGGCCATAGAGGCCCATAGTTATTTTTTAATAAACTACCTATATTATCTATATTAAAAAAATACTCAAATTATTAGAAACTTCTTTCAGTGTATATTATACAGCCCAAGAAGCATACCACACTGAAAACAACCAAATAGCTACGCCCTCTAATATCTAGTTCCCACCAACCACCTTTTGCAAAATCCAAATTGAAAGCGCACACACAGAACAGATATGGGGCAACCAATTTTCCCACCACCACTCACTCAAGATGGGTCTCGATTTTGCCTCAGAAAGCCTCCTCCACCCACTCTAACAACCCACCAAATTCCTCCCAGTTTTTTTTTTCTTTTCATTTCCTTTTTACCTTATCTCATTTATCCACTATCATATACATATACTCCTTACTTATTTATTAGCATTATTAATTGTAGTATTATTATTAATTGTTATAACACATTACATTTTATATTTAATTGCTGATAATACTTTGTAGTTTGTATCGTGTATGAATGATATTTGTTCGGTGAATATATATTCCCTTTTAGATTATTGATGATTACGGGCTATTTTTTAAGGGGCTTCATCCACTTGAGGACAAACCTTTTGTTTCCTAAGGCAAAGATTTCATATCCTATGTGACCACACCACTTAGTATAGCTTCGCATCTGGGCTCCCTAATTTCCCATTTATCAAAGAGGATCCCCTAAAGACTGAAGCTTTTTTTATCAGCTTCATAACTCGTGAGTGCTGTTGATTGTTCTCCTTTGTTCTTCGCATAGGCATCCTTTTTTGTTTCTTTGCAATGCGTGAAGATATGCAAAGTTTCTATCTTTTTAGTATCTTCCTGTGTTGATTTGAATGGCTCCTGTTGCTTCTCGGTTCCATTTTTCTTATTGGTTTCTCTGTAAGATCTAAGTAGGACTTCCATCTTTAACTGTTATTTCCGTTTCCATGGGATCTGGGATTGATGTTTATTGATTTATATCGGCGTGTATGCTGTTGTTTGTTCGATGGTAGTTGTAATGCTGAACTCGTTTCAAAAAAGAAAAGGAAAAGAAATTTTTTTTTTGATTTTTATTAGGTTAGTGGCAGAAGCACACTTAGTGCAGTTGGTGAGTACGTGAATAGATTATTAGAATTTTGAACTTTTTATTATCTGGCATTCAGTTTAGAGTTTTCTTAAACTCGTTGGCAACCCAATGATTGGAAGATTTTGGGATTGTCATAGTTCTACTGATATTGCTTGATGGATGGTCAGGATTAGAGTTTCGTACTTTAAGCAATTGATTCTAATGAAAGATATCGTATTCCTAGCGTTGATCCTTGATTCTGAGTTTTGTTATTTAATACTCATTGTGATGCCTGTGTTGTTCTCTCAGAATTAATCAAATATGAGAGGAGGATTGTGGCAACTTGGCCAATCAATTACCCGCCGATTGGCTCAGACTGACAAAAAGACTATTGCTCGAAGATGCTTTGCATCGGAGGCTGATCTTAAGAAGACCGTTCTGTACGACTTCCATGTTGCCAATGGAGGGAAAATGGTACCTTTTGCTGGTTGGAGTATGCCGATTCAGTACAAGGACTCGATCATGGAATCTACCATAAATTGTAGGGAAAATGGTAGCCTGTTTGATGTTTCCCATATGTGTGGCCTCAGCCTTAAGGGGAAGGATTCCATTCCATTTCTTGAAAAGCTTGTCATTGCTGATGTTGCTGGGCTTGCTGATGGAACCGGGACATTAACTGTGTTCACCAATGAGAAGGGAGGTGCAATTGATGATTCAGTGGTAACCAAAGTGACCAATGATCACGTATACCTGGTTGTAAATGCTGGTTGCAGAGATAAGGATCTTGCTCACATTGAGGAGCATATGAAGTCCTTCAAGTCCAAAGGAGGCGATGTCTCTTGGCATATCCATGATGAAAGATCCCTTCTCGCCCTTCAGGTAGGATTCGTACAATGGTGCATGATTTTAGGTATCATTGTATTCTTTGCACAATTTTATCTTCACCAAACATTGCTACAGTAGGGACTGAGAGTTCTTTTTCTTTTTATATGAATATATGTTGTGGTCTATCACCATAGAATAGCTCAATCAGCAGAAATTCATAGCAACTTCTTTTGTTTGTCCTTCAGTGACACATTTCCGTAACTCACAATGGGCCATTGTTTTCGTACTGGATTCTTTGGTATATACATTGTAATGTCGTGCGACCACAGACACAACAATGGTGTTTTAATCCTCAATTTTCTATTTTTCTTTACTCAGGAAATTAATGTTTCCTCCATGAATGATAATGGAATATGGTGTTTTTGCATATCAGAGATGAAACTGTACCTTTTCCTGCTTTGTAAAATACACCCTATATCTGTTTGGTGTCTTTGTTAGTTTCTTCCGTCACTATCAATATATCACAAAATAGCTTATGGATTTCATACTATTCTTGCTTGCAATGATGAAGCAGTACCTTTGTTTTGATGATTTGTTGGATCCTCAATATCCTGGTTACAGGGTCCTCTTGCTGCTCCAGTTCTTCAACACCTGATGAAAGAGGATTTAAGCAAGATATACTTTGGGGATTTTCGGATCCTGGATATTAACGGTTCAACCTGCTTCCTTACAAGAACAGGGTATGCTGCTTTTTACTGCATTGTTGTATTCAAAATTTCTACTTAGTATGAGTGGATTCTTAGTCGGTGACAAACCTTGCCTTGTGAATAATGATGCTAGCAGCATTCTCTTTTGGTTGCCAGCATGTGCAAAACAGAAAACCATTTCCTAAATGCTGTTTTAGTTAGAGAAGAAGTTCTGAGGTTTAGAGTGAATTCGTAAACTGTTAATATCTAGAGCTGATTCGAAGTCCTACTTTGATTGTGAAAAATTTTGTCATTGTGGTCCAGGTATTTGCTTTAGAAATATGACTTCCTTCACATCTGCATCCTCTAAGAAGCTCAAACATGTGTCATTTAGCATTTGTTACTCCACTGTACTGCAACTAGAGCTGAACTTTAGTGTCACTGCTAGTGTAGGGAGTTGCAAAAGGACCAGTGACACCGCAACTGGATGTTTTTAGTTGATACATTTTACACCCATGGATTCGCAGGTATACAGGTGAAGATGGTTTTGAGATTTCAGTTCCTTCTGAGAATGCCGTTGATCTGGCAAAGGCTATTCTCGAGAAATCTGAAGGGAAAGTTAGACTGACTGGTTTGGGTGCTCGAGACAGTCTTCGTCTTGAGGCCGGGTTATGCTTGTATGGCAACGACATGGAGCAGCACATCACACCCATAGAGGCGGGACTTACATGGGCCGTAGGGAAGAGAAGAAGGGCAGAAGGTGGCTTTCTAGGTGCGGATGTAATACTTAAACAGATTGCGGATGGTCCATCAATCAGGCGAGTTGGGTTTATCTCATCCGGGCCGCCAGCAAGGAGTCACAGTGAGATCCAAAACGAGAAAGGTGCGAATATTGGGGAAATAACAAGTGGAGGATTTAGCCCCTGCCTCAAGAAGAACATCGCAATGGGGTATGTCAAGTCTGGATCACACAAGAACGGCACGAAGGTAAAGATTGTTGTCCGAGGAAAATCATATGATGGGGTTGTTACAAAAATGCCTTTTGTACCCACAAAGTACTACAAGCCATCATAGATCATTAGATCTGTTCCTTTTCTAACTTGTTCCAAACCTTCGGAAGTTCCCAACTCTTGAAATTGCTACTACCATTGCTGAAACTCAGAAATGCTTAAATTGAATATGATTTTCTTCCTTTCATATAGTGGCCGGGTTTCTTTGCATTTCTATTTTCTAGCGAATGGATTTATTTCTTGTTTGATTTTGTCCTTTGGAAAATGACAGTATAGATGGAAAAAGAAGTCTAATCAGAGGGAACCGTTCACATGATCCCAAAAAATGAGTTGAGCATTAGAATCATTCGGGTTTATACTCCATCTACACAATGAACCAGTGACACAGATCAAATTTAATTAGGCCTCAGCAGAAAATGACCACATTGGACTGACTACATAGGCCATAGAATATACTGAAGATTCCATCAGAGTCCAAACAGGCCAACAGTCACATTACACTGAAAGATTCCTGCCAAACTTTCGGGTAATCCTCCCTACGGCTTTTGCTCCTCGTGGTCTATTCTAAACATTTACCACTCCCTTAAATTGTCGGTCGTTCCCTATTGGCATTTAAATGAAATCTTGAAACAGTAACAAGACTGAATGTACTATTTTCAGCACGTTTTTTTCGTAATTTTTAATTACTAACATATCTTTTTTTTTTATAGTTTAATACACTTTTTTACATTTCTAATAGAAAGAACACCGAAAAAAAATCATAAAATGATGATAATGCGTGTTGTACTGATAAAGAAACATTTTCAAACAAAATTACAAAAGGAGCAGTATCATAGTATTTGCCAAAGTTTTCCGTTCTTGGTTCGCATATGTCATATATTTTTAACCCATTGTAATTTCTTCATGGAGACGCATGGGTTGTACCTACCTCAAACTCAAAGTATACTTTAAAAAGACTTCAATTTTCTGAATTTGTCAAAGTAAAAAAAGTTTGCATCAGCTAACTAACAACTAGTTCGATTCCAAGTCAACTAATGAATTACTGCTACTCATTGTTTTTTTAAGGGTTCTTCGACAATTATGGGCAGCTTTTCTGTAAGAACCATTCTCAAAGCATCCATCCATCCATTTCACATTGTTATAAAATATCAACCGTCAGTTTTCCCAACTAACCATTATGATGTTATATGATACAAAAGTATTACAACAAGTTCCATTTCAGAAAGTTGGTAAGTTAGCATTTAGCATTATAAAATGCGTAGATTGTGAAAATTTAATTCGTTTAAATGCAGTTTTTTTTATAATTGTTGAAATAATAATTAAATCTATAATTGACTAAGTATGAAATTACAGCATTAAGGGATGAGAATGAGATTCTTCTTATTAGTAAAAATAAAATGAACAAATATTTATTTTGACAAGTCATCACAACTACCAAGCTGGGGCCCGGGTGATGGCCTTTACAAAAACTGGTGCTGGCCTATGATATTTATATATATTGAGTTATTGACCCAAACTACTGGGGGTAGTACAACGTAAACCTTCATTTTTCTCTTTAATTTTCTTATTGTCTCTTTGGGGGGAAGAAGAGAAAGTGAAGATGAGTTCGGTGGCCAAGAAGGGCGTCCAGCAGTATCTTTTACTGCTTCAGAAGCATCCCTTGAGAACCAAGGTTTAATCTTTTCACAAACCCTTTACGTTTCTTCGATCTAATCCCCTGATTTTGGTTCTTGATTCTTACAAAATTGGTTAGGTAGAGTCATTTCTGTTACTGTTTTGTTCGGGTTGACTCGTGATCTCTGTCTGACTCTTGGAGTTGACTTCTCTGAATCTCAGGCCATCACTGCGGGAGTTCTGTCAGCAATCAGTGATATAGTTTCCCAGAAGCTTTCTGGCATTCAGAAGCTGCAGCTCAAACGCCTTATTCTCAAAGTGGTACTGTTTTGAATGTTTAATGTTTGATTGGCTGTTCTTCCCCTAAGTGTAATTTTGTGATCTTTTATTTACCCTTGAGAAAGAAAGAAAAGAGAAGGAAGATTCCGATACTGCATGTGGAATTCGGTATCAATCACATCTGTTTGAACCGTTTTGGAATGTTTCTCTAGGTCCATTTTTCGCTCAGTTAATCCTATCGTTTGGTTTCTGTTATTTGTTCAATTATTTGCCTGCGCGTCTTAAGTTTCCTGGGATCTTTGCTGATGTTATGATGATGAAATTACATCTTCATTAGTCTAATATCTGTTCTGATTCTATAACATATACCCTGACTATGTCTTGATGGTGGTTTTGAGAGTGTTCTTCATCTATGTTCCAAACCGATTTAATTTTCTGTATAAGGCTACATATGAAAATGTAAATTGTGGTTATTTTTACAAACACATGCTGCTTTTCGAATTGTTTCCATGAAACTGACGGTTTGATGATGTCTGTGAACAACCTTGAAATCTACCGTTATTTACACATTCAATCTAAGATATTTCTATTTAGGATGCAGTTCTCTTTTAGTGGACAGTTCTCTTACCATGGTTTATCTAAATGAAATCGCATCTCGTCAAGATCATTGGATTCCCTTTGTGCAAACATCATAAATTAGTCTTTCTCTTTTTGGCTTCTCAGAGCGAATTTTAAAACAAATATTATCCAATTTCCATGAAAGTGGTTATGGTAGTTGCCGGAGTGAAAATTGACCAAATTGGGGTAACCCAGAAAGAATCAATCTAAGAGTTGAGTAAAAGTTATAGAAGGTATATGTGGTTTAATAACTATCGTGTGTACTGCGCATAATATGATGTTTTATTTATCTTGTCACCAATTGTTCAGAATTCGGTGGAAAACCTGTGATCCACTTTTGAACAACTTGCACAATGACATTTGTGGAAAAAGTCTTCAGATAAAATATTAGCCTACAAAGTTTCATGTGACAGCAAATACAATGTCTGATTTTGGTACCTTTATATCCCCCCATGCAGCTTCTTGGAGCTCTCTATCTTGGACCAGTTGGACATTTCTTTCACTTGTTTCTTGATAAGCTCTTCAAAGGGAAGAAGGACACCAAAACAGTTGCCAAGAAGGTATGGTAATCCACTGAAACTTCTGAAAATCTATCACGGTTGAAGCAATAATACGATCTTCAAGTTTCCAACTATCACTCAGCTGTGATATCCTTATATTCATACTGCTCATTCTTGGTTGGCAAAAGTTGGTTCATACTGTTTTCGTTTTATCTTCAATTTTAAATGTTTGTGATCAATGTGGCTGAGTGAACTGAATCGCCCCGATGCTCCTAGATACTACTCTGAAATTAATATCTTAGATCTGTATGACCTTTTAATTTCAAAGATTATGAATTATTTGAGAAATGTCTTCGTCATGATAAAGCTTGTGAAGTTGGTAAATGACATGAACTGGGGGTACTGAGATCTGAAGTAAAAAATTTACAGGTGGTGCTGGAACAAGTAACCATCTCTCCTTTGAACAATTTGATGTTCATGATTTACTTTGGTTTGGCGATTGAGGGTAAGTTTGCTCTACCATCTCTAGATTTCGGTACTTAAATTTTGCAAATTTTGCCAGGGAAAATAGAAATAAATATTAACCTAGAATCCATTCTCGTGCAAGTGAAAGGCCTTATCTTTTAAACCAGATTGCATGTACAGATTATTGTTCTTCAAAGGTTAGCCTATGTGGAATCCGAATGATTGCATCATAACCTCAATTCACTTTACTACCTTTACCCATAAGGGGTTTTGGGTTTTTTTTTTTTTTTTTTCCCTACCTTTATCCATAAGTAAAAGGCTGCAAGATTGAAGGTTTGACTCTGCACGTTATCGCATATGATTGAACTACAATGCTGCCTTTGTATACTATCATCAAGTATATAACCTACATCCATGATCTGCATCTCTATAGTCCAAAACACAGTCTGAAATAATTATCTTTGCATATCCTTACAAGTCATAGGATGGCCATTGCTATTCAATGATGCTAGATAGAGAATGACCTTCATTTATTTAATTTTTGACCACTCATCACATCTTAGAGAATGACGTTTCTCATTCCATGTGGACTACGAATTCTACATATATCATTGCACTGAACTTTTTGGGGTAAATTCATCTTTTGGAATCTACAGGAAGAACTTGGGCCCAAGTCAAATCCAAAATTAAGAAGGAATATCCTGCTGTGCAGTACACCTCATGGACTGTACGTGAAAATTGTTCTAAAAGTACCTTTTATTTGTTTATTTAGGAGTTGCATCGGTTCTAAATATTTTTTGCAAATAAACATACAGTTCTGGCCTATTGTGGGATGGATAAATCACCAATATCTGCCTCTGCAGTTGAGAGTAGTGTTCCAAAGTCTTGTTGCGTTTGGCTGGTAAATTACATTTCTCCAAATTTTTGTACGGAACATGCAACTGTTATTAGCTTGATGGTATTATCCAACAATCATGAATCATATTCTGTTTCCATGTCATAGGGGAATATTCTTGAATCTCAAGGCCAAGTCTGCGGCTGTGGCATTGACTAAAGGCTGAGCACATGAACCGGACATTCAGACAATATGCTCTATGTTGTGTAAAGTCTCATAATTTGAAGCTTATAACATGGATGGAAACCAAGTTCTCTATTGGGAGAATGTTTGGAGCTGGTTACTATTTGCATCAAACGTGCTTCAGTAAAAGAGTCTTGGATTCCTAAAATGTTAAAGCTGTATAATGCTTGTAGAATGAAGGCACTACGGATTTATTTATTAGTCGAAGGCTTCTAGCTATAAAGTAACCTTGTATCAAAAAAGTCTATTTAGTCATCCATGTGAATCACTTCTTTAAAGTTTAAACTAAGTTGCTGCAAATTGGGATGTAGCAGTTTTGAGTTATTTTTACTGGGATTGTTGGATTCAGCACCTTAGTTGCTGGGGATTCTATCAAAGCAATTGTGTGATCAACAGCTCATGTGATGATGTTCTTTTTCTCTTTTTGAACCATGCAAACAGATGGGGGGATGAGTTCTCCTTTTTAGTCATTTTCAACTATACCAAAAACACCAGGTAGAACTGCAGCCAATATAATAAGAGATTTATTAGTTTGGAGAAATACTCTCTTCGCTCTTTAATATAAGGCATTTTAATTTATACTAGGTGAAACGTTTTTAATTGATAAAAATATTTAAAAATATATTTTCACATTCGTTGTATTCTCTTGATTATTACATTTTTTATGAAATATTTTTAAAATTTCTTTTGTCAATTAAAAATGTGCACTAGATGAAATTTAGTACAAATTAAAATATTTTATATTAAGGAAAGAAGAGAATATTAGACAGTAGACTTATTTTCTAAGACGATGAAGCACTAATACTGTAATTATGGTGCAATTGAATACTCCCTATTTATTAGTTATGGAGTACCAAACTAGTATTTACTTAGTTTGGAGAAATATTAGATGGCGGACTTATTTTCTGACACGAGAAAGCACCAATACAGTAATTATGGTGCAATTGAATACCAAACTTATGTGGGAATGGAAAAATGAACCGTATAGTTGGTGTAATTTTCTACGACACAAGATGGATTTGATCGGCAGTATAACAAAAACCGTCCCCGAGAGACAGCAGCAATAAGATTAGGGTACCACTCACTTTCTGACTTTCTGTTTCTGGAAAGTTATTAAACGCTTTAATTTTTTCATTTGAACGCTTTTAAAAATCTTAAAAAGATTATTTTGTCCTCACATATTTATTTATTTATTTTTATAAAAAGGGAGGGCGCGATGCTACCCTTTCACGAATGGCGTGCACTTTTCTCGCCACCCTTCTAGGGGTGGCGAGCAATTTTGTGCCACTGAAAAGGGGACGGCTTACAAATCATGCGCCACCCTCCTCCTTCCCGATTTGGCGAGCAAAACTGCTCACCAAACCGATTGGGTGGCAGTCCAACCGGTCACCACCTTTTTTTAATTTATTTTTTTAAATAGATTTATATATTTAATTATTTATTTTATTTTATTTATTTATTTAAGTATATTTATTTATTTGGCGGTTAAATAAATAATTTTAACTTAAATAAATAATTTTTTGACTTAAATATTTGGAAAATGTTACTTAATTTTGCATAGTAAATTTATTATAGAATTTTTTAAAACTTAAATAAAACATTAACATTTAATAATAACTAAAACTTATGAATTTACTACAAAAAAATTATTTATAAATAACTAATAAAAATATACTAAAATATTAATGAAAAATTATCATTTACTACCAACTAAAAAATTATCAATCTCTAAAATTTAAATTAAAACCTTGAAATTTGTTAGGATAATGGCTCGTTAAAACCTTTACTAGAAAAAACCTAGTGGAAGCCATGTCATCCAGAATTGGAAACCCCTCCTTATGCAATTTATTTATGTAATTGTAGACTTGTTTGGAGGTAACATTTTCATTAGGAAATTGTGTCCATATCGCCCGTAAAATGTGAATTGCCTTAGTCCCAACTTTAGAATACTCCTCAATGAGCTCTCTCACTTCTGCGCTCAGTCCGCTCCTAACCCCAGGCGGATCTGTCAAAGAATGGTTGTGCATTCCCTACGGACCGGGATATACACGAATCGTCCACCTATCACATATTTTGTAGACAGTAATGTAAAATTAGCATTCGGTCATCTGTGTCTTCGTATTGGGTCGGGCACGCATAGTTTCATCCACCTGTTAACCTTGGTACCGGCCTCCTTTATAACAAAGGAGTATAGTATGACTATCATTATGCTTTGATATACTTAACTCCATGTTGTACATATTTGGAATACCCTTCGCATATCTAATAGCGTCATGCCTTTCGACAAAAGTTTCGTTTGTAGCAAAAGACGAACTATAATCACTGACATCCCCCTGATAAAACCTATCGTGCACACATTAAAAATGAATTATATCATAACTTAAATTAATTATAATAACATTAAACCACAAATAATTCATCATAAACAAAAACATAATATATAATCCGATATAATGATGTTATACTTTAAAGATAATTAATTAACATAATATATACTAATAATAAACTAAATACATTATTAACAAAAACTTACTATTTTAATATAACAACTATAACTTATGAACATACTACCTAATTAACTAATTCTTTCTAAACTAACAATAAATTAAACACATATTTAACAAAAAAACTATTTCATACGAACATATTACGTAATTAACATAATTTAAATATATAACAAACTAAACACATAATTAACCAATAATTTATCTATTTAATATAACAACTATAACTTATGAACATAATACGTAATTAAAAAACATTCTCTAAATATTTAAGTTAAACATTATTTATTTACTAATACCATAAACCTAAATATTAAGATAAATTATCCATTTAACTACTAATTAACATATAATTTTTTAAATAAATATTAAACTACCAAACAAATACTCAAATAAAATAAATAAATAAATTACATTAAATACATGAATTAAATAAACTAAATAAATACACGAATTAAATAAATTTATTAAACTAATAATTTAAATAAATAAATGAAAATAATTAAATACATTAAAAAAATAATTAAATTAAAAATAAAATAGGTGGTGCACAAAACGGCCCCACCTATCGAATGGTTGGCGAGCATTTGCTCGCCAACCCGGACAAAGGTGACACCCAAAACGGGTGCCTGGCGAAGGTTTTCTCGCCTCCCTGTAAAAGGAGGCCAGATTATTCTACGCCACCCCGCAAAGGGGTGGCATGTTTCTCCTGCGTCAGCTGTGAAAGACCGGCGCAATTCTCCCTCGTCCCCTCTTTTTTTAAAAAAATAAAAAATAAAAAAGATAAAATTATCTTTTTTTATTTTTTAAGATATTTAAAGGAAAAAATTAGGGCGCTCAGCAGCAATAGAATAGAAAACTTCAACGCCCAATATTTTTATTTTTTATTTTTTGGGGGCGGGGGGGGGGCGCGGGTTCATGTTTTTACTCATCATCTACAAAGTTTCTATTAGGGAAAAAATAAAACTAAGTTGGATTTGGAGGAAAATTAATTGATAATCCTAGAATTGGGAGGCAAATGATGAGGATGCGTGACGATTGTTGTGACTTTGTGAGGCGATTCTCATCTTACACCGTTGAATTTTTCTAGTCAACGCGAGCTTTTGACGATGTTGACCGTAAACTGAAGGCGTCTTTCGGAGAAGCTCTATGTTTCACGCTTTTACAATAAAAGTGCGATTTGTGCCTACCCATCTTTTTTTTTTTTTGGGCATTCGTTGTAGGATATAAAATCAACATAATTATAGGATTCAACCACTCGGCCTCACGATGGAGTTATGTTTTTAAATTAGTCAAAAATCTCAGACGACTAGTCGAACATGAAATATGGTGGTTATCAACTAATTATATATGTAGAATAATAATAATAATAATAATAAAGAACTGTTTGACTCCAGTAACGATTGAAAGGAAAACATTAATAATTTGTTGTATGCAATCCAACTTGAATTACCTGAACCAATAAATTATGAATTTATCTTAATCGGCCTAAATCGTGAATCTATCTTAAAAGTATGCATACAGACGTAATCAGTTGGTTTAATTGTATTTTTTGTTTGGTAAAACTAATGAAACAGTGTTTTCACTCGCCTTCTCACCCACTCTGCCGTCGAGGGCTATTTCAACCTTTCAAACCATCTCCCCCAAATTAAACCGGTTTTACAATTAAAATCTTTACTACTACTGAATTAGCTCAAGTTTGTACTCTGTTGATATAGTCAATCCCCTCAATTGTAAGCTAAGAATATTAGTGGTGTACATTTCCGGGGAGCAATCCAATGACCAGAACTAGTCTAACAAAACAACGTCAAACCTTTCAAATTTATTCTATTCTTTCCCTATTTTACGTACCCTCTACTCCTATATATATATACATATATTACACCATGCCTTTTCATATTCAAAATATTTCCATCATCTCATATACTATATATTGTTACTTCCTTTGTTCATCCATTCTTCATCACAGATAAAATTGATACCATAAAAACTACTCTACAAATTGATCAATGGCATCCCTTCAATCATCAGCTTCCTCTTCCTCCCCCATGCACAGGTTTTCCAAGAAAAGAGGAGCTAACATCATGTCCATTCTTGATCTAAGAAAGTCATTCACTACCACAACTTCCACTATTTCTCTTCATGATCTTCAAGCTGGAGAACTGCCCAGAAATTTCACTTCTTTTATTGACAAATCACCAGCTAATTATGATCAAATGGTGGGATCGGAAAGAAGCAGCAAATCAGCTGCATATCCTTTGGTGATGGAAAAGCTTTATGCAATCTTAGAATCGATTGCAGATAGAGTGGAGATGCACCAAAATATTGGACAGCAGAGAGAAAACTGGAACAGCCTTCTCTTAACATCCATCAATTCGATCACGCTCGCGGCCTCCACCATTTCTGCCATTGCAATCTCATCATCATCCACCATTCCTGAAGTTCCTGCTTTGTCAGCCTTGAACTTGTCTTCTACTTTTATGTTCTTGGCAGCAACCGGGATGTTGGTGATTATGAACAAAATCCAACCTTCCCAGCTCGTGGAAGAGCAGCGAAATGCCGCAAGGTTGTTTAAGCAACTGTACAACCAAATCCAAACAAAGGTTACCATTGGAAAGCCTACACAAACTGATGTCAATGATGCCATGGACAAAATCTTGGCTCTCGACAAGGCCTATCCTCTGCCTCTCCTTGGCGTAATGCTCGAAAAATTCCCATCTCAAATTGAACCAGCAGTGTGGTGGCCTCAACAGAATATGCAATCTAGCACTGACAACAGTACTAATCAGCAGCAATCGGCAGAAAATGGATGGAATTCCAAGCTTGAAAGCGAAATGAAAGCGGTTGTTGAAGTTGTGAGGAGAAAGGACAAGGAGGAATATTTAAGGCTTGGTGGAAAGGCATTGAAGTTGAACAGAATGCTGGCAGTGAGTGGACCTGTATTGACTGGAATAGCAGCCATTAGTTCTGCCATTTCTAGCTGTAATGGCTCTAGTAGTTTGGCTTCCATCATGGCAGCAACAGTTTGTGGTGGATTGGCAAGTATGGTGAATGCCATGGAACATGGTGGACAAGTTGGTATGGTGTTCGAGATGTACAGAAGCAATGCTGGATTCTTTAAACTTGTTGAATACTCCATTGAATCTGAGCTGATGAAAGCTTATGAGACCAGGGAAAATGGTGAATTGTTTGAGATGAAGATGGCTCTGCAACTGGGAAGAAGCCTATCAGAACTCAGAGATCTTGCATCTAAATCATCTTCTAGTTTCAGAGGAGATGATCATCATCATCAAGTGGTTGAGGAGTTTGCAAGCAAACTTTTCTGATGCAGAATTTAGTACCAATACACTTTTCTGCAAAATCATGAGATTAACTCACTTATCAAAGTTAAATGATTGTCGAATAGGACTAGTGCTGTGTATAGATACAGTTCAGATGATAGATGTGTAAAAATTTAAGTATTCGTTGATTTGTGAATATTTGACTTACGAATATTAATTTGATTCTGTTATTACTATCCTTGAATTATGTATTTCATTCATTTATTTATTTAATTTTGAAGGCAAAAAGCATGTGTATTTCGTTATCCATCACCATTGCTTCTTTCTTGTGACTATTTTTCTAAATGAATTCCCAACAAATTTCATTTGGGCTGAACACTACTCTTTCAAACTCTTTTATTTAAATTTGAGTATGTATATTGTTCTTTGGGGTTCAAATCTTCAATAATAAAATTTTTTTAATTATTATTTCAAAGGTTTGGTGCTATGCTATTACGTGTGCACATTTTCTGCATGGCGATTAATTAAGTTTCTGACACCATTCTTAATCTAATATGTTGACATTTAGGATTACTTTCTTAAATAGTGGCATGCATGCCCAGTGATGTGCAATTAATAATTGAGTCTAAAACATTATGCTAAATTGCAAATATGTAAAGAGATAAGAAAACGAGTAAATAATCAAAATTCACCGCCCGAGTATTGACTTCTTTCTTTTTTCTTTTTTTTTTTATTTTATAAAAAAGTACTTGTATATTAAGATGTACTTATGCTATTACATCTCATACGAGCATAAGGTATATTATGTAAGTCATTAACTTCCAATCTGTTGACTTTAATCAAACAACAAAATTGAAAAGAGGAAATTAACTCTCTAAGAGCTATATTAACCACTTGTCCTTCAGAAGGAAGGGAATCTGTGGCTGGATTAGACACTAGCAATTCACAATCAGTATAAACTTTAACCTTGGAAATGCCTAATTCATCGTGTCTTGCAATGCCTGTAGACAAGTCATCGATTTTGCTTGAAAAGGAGAAAGGGAATTGAGGAAGACTGATTTAATTTGCATGAGCATACCCGTAGATGAAGTCAGTTTCCAGGCTCCAACAGCCTTCCTGGAATGAGTATTAAAGGAAGTATCAAAGACAATTTCCGCATAGTCAAAAATTTAAATTATTTATTTAAAAGATCATATAGTATATTTTTATGGTTATGAAAAATAGTAAAAAGAAATAAAAAAAAAGGAAAATTTAAATAAAAACTGAAAAGAGACTATTTTGTAATTTTTGTAAATTTTTGAAGTTTTTTTATAAATTTTTAAACCTATTAGGGTATTTTTGTAATTAAAATAAATAAAATTCCGTTAATTTAGACGGAAAATAGCAAATTAGACAAAATCGACTAACGGTTGGATAGTTTAGGGTAATATTGGCTAACCGAAACAAAATAAAGTAAAATTGACGACGCATGTAAAATTTTGAGTAAATCCACCAATTTTTCTCCTTTTTTAGTGCTATCTTAAATCAACTTCGGTAACTCATCGTTTTATTTCAATCTTGGTTAGATTTTAAAATCAGTTCCTCTCATCGTTTTATTTCAATCTTGGTTAGATTTTAAAATCAGTTCCTCTCAAATAATCTGTAAAAACCTTTTCTGTGAGAGGTAAATGATCAAATTTCATCTCCAAATATTACTTTTTAAGTCCATAATGGAGGAACTTCATCACTTTTCTTCGTTGAAGGACAAAGCACAATACACAAGACTGGGTTAATAACGCCATAAATTGAACACATTTGATTAGAGCATGGGGAAGAAGTTAGAATGGTGTTTATGGAATATAAGAACAAAGCAGGTTTTTTCGAGTCCATTGCGTCCAATATCTTGATGATGGATTGAGAGAGAAAATTGTGGCTTGTCTGAAATGATGCTTACTTCAAAACTTTTGTCAGGGTCATATCAGAGCTCTCACTCTTGCATCAAACTCTTTGTTCAACTATAAGAAGTATATGAAGAGTTAGCTAGGCAAGGCGGACACACGACCATCTCTTAAGAAACGGTTAAATGCAATTTTAATTTGTGTGGACGGAGCTCAAAAAATGACCATTCTTGTTAGACCAAAAACATACTCCAAAATAAAACATGGACATATTTCAAGAATCTCGAGCAAATTATTCAAAATAAAACTTCCAAATCTCGAGTTGTAACTCAACATAAAGAACTTGGCAGTAAAGCACTAGTTAATACAACAATGGGATGGAATTCACTAGTAGTGCTCATGTAATTTAAAACCATTTACATATGGTTTCAAAAAAGTTGCAGCAACCACTAAGCAACTGAAGGGAAAACACAGAACCGGACAAAGGCAGGAGGAACCATTTTATTCAGCTTTTTTCTCTTCTTTTGGCTGCAAGTACCTACACAGAGAGAACAACCAGAACTCTTAACACAAAACAAAATTCACTACAGACCACAAATATCAGTTCAAAGGGCTACGAAAATAACTAATACTACCAATTTACTCTACTATGCAAATCGTCAAAGACGAGTCTCAAGAATTCATTTAGAAATGAATGCAATAAAAACCAACGATAGCTTTCTATTTGGGAAAACAAGAGCATAGGTTTAAGTGCGACAGCAGAAGAATGAAATATGATACAACAGAAAGGAACAATACCCCAAATTCAACGATTTAAGCATAGACATACTTCTCCAAAGTCAATTCAACCAAACAAAATATCAGAAGAAACTTCAGCCACATACTGTGTTAAGCTCACACGTTCCATATCCCATTTTTATAGCAACAATTTACACTTTAGAGACAACCAAAAGCTCCAAAACTTCTTAAACACCTAAAATTTCCCGATGCTAAAAAATCTTACTTATCTTGACAAAATGTTCATGTCCTGCATCAAACAAATTGTTCCAGCAACTACTAACAGAAAATTCAAATCCACTTACTGAGTTAACCTCTTTTGGTTCAAATACAATATAAAATAGAAATAAATAACAATGGGGACTGCAGCTCCAAAGGTTCAAATTTAGAAAATTAAGGTTACAATGGCCATACTTAAATTTCTTTAAGCTTAAAAAAATTCGTAACAAACCGACTCTGGCCAGAGAAGAATCCAGTCAAGAGGTGATAAAGGTGCACAGAAAGGTCCAGATCATATAAAAGCACACAGACTATCTACAACTTTACACACATTACACATACCCTTGACCCCTTGCCCAACGGGAGAGTTGATAAAGTTGCACTGTTTCATTTGATGCGTGGCATGCCAAAAGAAGATAGTTGCGAGGTTGAACCATCCATGCAAACCTCATAAACAACGCGGAGTATACACACATTGCTGCAGAAAATTCAAAATTTCATCCGTATCATTACCCTGAAATAACACCTCTTCCCTAACCAAACAGACGAAGACACACATTACCTCCGGTCATATTCCCAGATATCATTTCTGGTGGTTTCTGCATATCCACCAAACCCTGCACATAACATGGTAAAACGTCCAATGAAAAATGGAGTAAAAGAAATTATTTCAAAATGTAATCCATAGCTGAGAAACATACAGCAACGACGAATCCCCAGTTGGCAACAGGACCCCAGAAGTGTGTAGTTTTTGGACCAACGGGACTGTTCACGAAAGCTCGCCATGAAGCCATATCTAGTTCCTCTATGAAAAGTTCCAGAAAACAAACAATGGTCAGAAATTTATGACAGAGAGTCTCTGATAGTTCAACAGCGCCCCCCCACCCCCCACCCAAAAAAAAAGAAGGTTTTAGGGAGATTTGATAACAGTAGTTCCCAATGCTTTCAGCCTTATCAATTTAGAGCATATAAGTTCAATTCGCAACTGTAAACTCTTAACCAATTCACAGGTACTGCCCATGAGAAGGCAAAAGCACATGGACTCACATGCGAACATTAAGGCCAGTCATTACATAAGAGAAGCATTAGAGAATTGGGCGAGGAGGGAGGGGGAAGATGATGGAATTCAACAAAGCTCCTCCCTCTTGTGTTAACTGAACCAGCAGCTCCAACTTAAAGATTGATATCTTTCCAGTTCTGTAACAATAATGTCTCCCTATATTACATTTATAAAATGTGGCGCTCACATACTTCTGTGTGTAAATTTCGAACAAATAGAAGCAGCATCCATCAACTACCATTGTCTCAACTTAAAACCGAAAGACTAAGGACTACATTTCTCGAGTTTAAAACATTGGTCAACACTTAGAATATGAGAAAGTTGTGAAATTGAAGCAATGGAACTGCAAATAACAAGACAGTCTGACTTTTTTCTGGACATTTGAGAATGCAAACAATAGACACAAAAGCTTAATAAATTCAAGTGATCCCAAATAACAAAAGAAAAAAAGCTAATTCTAGAGGATGAAAGTATGCAACCACCATATTTCATCCTATTAACCAGACAATCCGTCTAAACCTCCAGCTCTGCCGGATTGCACCGACTTCCGATACAAAGAAAAAAGGGACATTTTTCAGAAACTCAACACCACCAAGTGATTGGAAACAAGTTAAATCGAAGCGACACAACGAGAGGACTTAAGACATCCATATGATCTTAATATGGACTGAAAGTAACATAAATTCTGAATTGAATTTAATAGAAAACATCAATAAATTCGTGTCCCACGTGAATGTGACCGCTTCATAACTTTCGACATTTACCGCAGGAGAATCAACTGCAATGCTATAAAGAAAATTGACCGAAACTAAAAATAAAAATCACTTAAATACAAAACTTCGAATTCATTCAAACTCAAGTCGATTCCACCCCAACCCAAATTAGACCAATTATCTAAAATTCTACGAAAAAATGAAAAGAATACGAAAGAGAGAATCCTCACCAAATCTATACGAAAATGGTCGAGAAAAGGAGCCTCCGACGCCGTAGTCCGCTCAGATTGTCGTCCCGGCAATAGTAAGGATGGGAACGAGAAGGAGAAAGGAAAAACGAGAGAAGAAGATGGAAGTAGAAATCAGAATTTGGAGCTTCCGATTGATTGACTTTCGCTGTTCTCTCACAAAAGGAAAAAGAAAACAAGAAAAAAGAAAAAAAAGTTTCAATAATGTAATTAATTAAAATTATGATGTCATTATACAAAAAAAAAAGTATATTAGAGCAACTGACCCCTAAACAACTAATTTATTACATTCCGAAAACTGGATTGCTAAATGCAACTTAATTTTTTTATGCGCAGCTTGTAAAATAGACTTAAATATCCCTAAACTTTAAATTTTTCCAAATTCTTTTATATGATAATCTCTTTTCATAACTTCCTACATATTGTTTCAATATACAATAAAAATTTACTGATTGTTGATAATTTGCAATAAGGGTGAACTAAAGAACACGCGAAAAATGAAAAAGTGGAGTAATTTTATAGTGATTTCTTTTCCGTTCTTGGCGTGATCTGGTGACTTTAATGTTATGGGTTTTCTTATGTTTTTTTTGGGTTTTAATTTTTTTTGTTTGTGAAATGTGCAGAGGAAAATTTTTAGGCTTTGATATAATCAGTTATAGGTGATTTTTTTTTTTTCAAAATGGATGATCGTTCTTTTTCTTTTGGTGCGATCTTTTTTTTTTTTGGTGTGATTGGCAAGTTGGTCCGATCGTTTTTTTTTTTTTTTGTATGCGGTCATTTTACAAATATTTTTGGAATTAGATTTTACAATCGGAAGAATGTTGTCTTACCTCGAACACATTGAAAACAAGAGGAAAATAAGTATTATTAAATGTGGCTTGATTTTACTTTCTATAACTAAATTATCCTTATGAAATTGCACGAAATGAAATCAAGCTGCGTTTAGCAAACATACTTTTAGAAATACATAATTTATCTGTGTTTCCCGGTTGTCATCTGTGCAGTAATCGAAACAAAGCCAAATTATGAGGATTTAAAAGAAATAAAAATATATTAAAAGGATGGAAATATAATTATTAATTAACAAGCAGATCATTAAAGTACGCAGTAGAGTTGGAGTAGAACCCAATCGATCACCTTCCCCGAGAAAAACCCCAACAAAGTAACCCCTGCTTCCTCTGATCTTCGATCTTTTCTATACTTGTTCTGGAAATATTGTTTCCCTATTCAATCCAAGCGGTGAATTCCTATCTATTTTTTACACGTTTTAAACCTACCAAAGAAGAGAAATCAGCGAAGCTTGGGATTTGGGGAAATATGATTCAATTACTGTTTAGTTTGATATTCACGGAGATTACTCTGATAGTGATGTTCGTGTTCAAGACTCCGCTGAGAAAGCTGGTGATAATGGGTATCGATCGGGCCAAAAGGGGTCGCGGCCCGATCGTAGTGAAGACGGTAGCCGGAACCGTTTTTGTGGTGATGATGACCAGCGTTTACAGTGCCATGGAGATCCAACGCCGGTTGTCACAAGATGCTGAAATTAGTCCCACGGATCAGATTCTGATGGGCAAGCACATGCTTGAAGCTACTCTTATGGGTATTTTGGTTTCCTTTTTCCCTTTTTAATTTCCAGTTAATTTTTTGGATCTTTAGTTGGTTCTGGGGTTTCCCTTGACGATTTTGGTGAATGTGCAAGTGTATTATTAGTTTTTTTTTGTTCAGTGAAGTGAAGAAGGGGTGAGATTGAATATTCTACGTGGCTTGTTTGAGTTTTTTTTTTTTTTTTGATTGTTAACTCTGCGGATTTGGCTTGTTTATAGAAATGAGAATACTGCCGGATATGATCCATGTAGCTGATCTTACATGGGTATCCTCAAGGTTTTGCTGGGCATTCTTATTTGATTGAGTTGTGTATGCTTCTTAGATGGTCGGTTATGTGTTGGATTGTGTAACTTTTTTCGACCAAGGGGATGGATGCTTTGGATGATTTGCGTGCGGCCATGGTGCTATTTATTAGTTTTTAACTTGGTAAACTATTCTAACTTAATAGCATAATCTTTTCGGTGGGATGAAGATATCTTGTTAGAAACTTATGCGACATGTGTGTTTGGGAAGGTTTCTCATCGAAATACTTGCAATAAATGATGTCATGTATTTTTACTGAACTTCATAGCTTTAGATATCTTCATCATCATACCGGTGTAGAGCCATGAGGTTAGTTGCTGATTTGATCCATCTTTGAGTTCTTCAGGTTCATGTGTCCTATTTTATCGATGATGATACTAATGAAGTCCAGATTATGGCACGGTTTGGGTTTAATGACAATGTGTGGGGTTAGATTCATCGCATTTATTAAACTGTTAAAATCTCATGAGAATAGAATTGTAGTTGCTGCAAGTTTAAAGAGTCCAGGTTACTTACACGTTGCTCTTTCCAGCACTATATGTTACCTCTTAATGATCTTACCCAAGTAACCCAACACTAGACATATATATGTGTGCTCTGATCCATGTCTCTTCTTGGTATTGGCAGTGAATTTTATACTGTTAATAGGCTTGTGCCCTTTCTTTCTATTCTTGCCTGTAATGCAGTTTTCTCTTTGTGTTCTTCTGTACTGAAATTATTCACAAATTTTCCGCAGGATTTTCCCTTTTCCTTGCATTTATGATCGACAAATTGCACCATTATATTCGAGAACTCCGCATCCGAAGGAAGACCATGGAAACTGCTAAGAAGCAGGGTCAAGGTTTTGAAGATGGGAATAATGGTGGTGCTTCTAAGAATGTTGTTAAAGCAATGGAAGAGGAAGTAGCGGCATTGCAGAGGAAGATCAAGGAGTTGGAAGCTGAGGTTGAGGAAAGGTCTAAAGAATCACGTCATGCCGAAGCTAATAAACTGGCCTTGCAAAAGCAATCAGAAGGCTTCCTTCTTGAATATGGCCGGTTACAGGAGGAAAACGAGAGTCTCAGGAGTCAGTTGCAGGCGTTGGACAGGCAATTATCACAATCGGATAGCAAGAAGTCTATGTAGTAAACTAACTTATGAGTATCTTCCAGTCCTATACAATTTTCCTTTAGTTTCGTGGAGTTTCTCTTGTAGATTTTCCTCCTGCCTCGGTAAATTATGCAACTAAGATCAAAGTTGAAACAGATCAATTGTTTGTGCTTTGTTGTTAATTCAGTTAAATATTGTGTGTTTGATTATCTCAGAGAAAGTTTAGACACTTGGCATCTTTCCTTTGCACAACAGCTTCTGTTTTGGATACTGATAAGTGTTTCCTTTACTTCTGCCAACTTGTCCAAAAAAAAAAAAAAAAAAAGAAAACTTTGCTGGAATTATCATGTTCTTGGGAAACAATCAGAAGTTAAACTTAGAAAAGGGTCGTTTTTCTGCACAAATGTTTGAGCATTTAGTGCAGTAGAAATCAGCAATGCTAAAAACACCAGGACTGAGAAAGCTGACAGAATGAGAGTCAAGCCGGGAGCCAAAACAACGCCTTCAATATGTCCTGCATATTCTGATGAGGTTAATGCAAGAAGGGTGAGGGGAAATGAGTAAGCCCACCAGCCAAGGTTGTATCTCTTCATTGATTTCTTGAATAATGCCGGTCGACAAGCCTGAAGAATGCAGATTCCATAGCAAAATGATTAGGCATGAAAAATAATGAAAAAAGAATCTTCAAATATCAGGATTGACTCTTTTGACTTACTAAAGAAATAAAGAGAAACATGGATAGGAAAAAGAGCATTTTGCATGAAATGCTGAACGTCCCCAGAATAGAGCTCCAAGCTAAGCAAGCTGCGCATGGTGCCGCAACAAACAAGAAGAAAACTGGCCGCAAAAGCGCTGGAAAGCTCCCGGCGGCACCGGATAAACGCTGATATAGCGTGATGAACACCACAAAATAATGCACAGCTCCAACTGCAAATATGCAAACAGCGCTCTCTTTCCATCCCATTTGAGACGCAGTCCAAGCAGCCACCATGTTGGCTAGGATTGACATCTGGCTGGTGGGATTCGCAGCCATGGAAAGGAACCGTTTCTCAGTAGTGAACCACTGTCCATAGAGTTTCAAGTCCAAGAAAATCACTGGTAACACAACAGGCCACCATAAACCATCATAAACAACATTTCTTGGGACGCTGAAGAAACCACCCCGGAATGGAAGCGATTGAAGGAGGAGAAGCCAGGATATCCAAGGAGCAAATAAGTAGTTTAGTCCAACATGGTTTGACAGTTCCTGTTTTAGAATCTGGAAGTGAAAAATGCACCTCAGGAAGTAGAGAAGAGTGAGCAGGATCAAGTAACAAAAGGCAAACCACCAAAGTAAGTGGAATGCCAGCCATGGCAGACGATTTGGGCCGCTGGAAATGGCTATGTGTTGGCTAAGCATCTTCCATAACAATGCTTGGCTACACATTGAAAGAGTTATGGTAAAGTAACCAGGGTGGATTCTGACTAAAAAGGATGATGCAATTGATCTTGTTGGGGAATCAGGAAATTCAACAGGTTGAAGGTGATGATTGTTAATATCATTATTAGGGTTCTTATTGATACTCGAAGAAGCATCAATGATGACCGTTAGAGTGGCCATTGTTGAACTGCTAGCTTCTTCTGAGATCAACAAATTAACTAGAGAGTAGGAAATTTTGAATATAATTAAGGGCTCAATTTTTTACTGAAAGCACGGTTAGGATTCGTAATCTTGACCCAGGTATTTATAAGCAGAACACCAAGATATCCGCAATAAGCAGATCACAGTGATTTTCTGATGTGGCGTTTTTCAGAAATCCAATTCTTAAGTTTTTACAAGACCTTTTGGTACCGCTTGAGCAATTAGCATTTGACTATATGGATTTGGATACTCTATAATAGTGTGATTTTATTACTGTAAATGTCATCGTGTGCCACTCTTAATATGGGATTTACTTATTATGTTTAGAAAAGTCCGACTATACCCAAAAGCTTACAAATGCAAAGAGTAGGCATAAAGTAAAAAAGCGGAAAACGACCTCCTGAGTTTGAACTCCTTTTTTTTTTAGCCCTCCTGTCCTTATTATAAGCTATTTAGACTTTTATTAGATTTTACCACGTACACATTTTTAATTGACAAAAAAATCTTAAAAATATATTTTCACATACGTTGTATACGCGTAATTGTTATGAAATACTTTTAAGGTTTTTTTCGTCGATTAAAAATGTGTATTAGGTTAAACTTAAGACAAATCAAAATACCTTATATTAAGGACCGGAGGGAGTACTATCCAGTTGATGATTATATCGGCCCTAACTATAAATTTGTTCAAGTTTACACCTTATAATTACGGAAAGGAGTATTTAAAAATGTCTTCCTTAAGTCTTTGAGGTGGAACAGTAAGTGTCGGAATTACTTTTGCCATGAGATAAGAGGTTCAAAAGAGTTCGTCTGATTTTCTTTTTTTATTTTAAAAAAGAAAACAAAAGAGACCTGTCCCTAACTGAGCTTATTAAGCACTCTAAGTCTCAGTAATTAGTGAAATAGTCGATATATTTACGAATAAATAAATTTGATTTTGTCGATTAGAGACTAACAATTTGACAAGGTCAACAAGGTTAAAGGAAGCCTATACATTCATTTGGTGGATGGAGAGAGAGTAAATACAGTGGATTTGATCGGTGAATGAATCTGTCCCATATGCCCGGCAAAAGCATGAAATATAAATAGTGCTCAAATTACACAGGATTATCCGGCTGAGTTTTGGAAAAAAAGTGACTGAAAATGTGGCTCTATCCAGTCCGAGAAAAGAAAATAAACAACTAAAAAAGATGGATGCAAAGGTAAACGCTTAGATTGATTAATTAGGTTAAAAACTTTTGAAGTCATCAATCCAACTATAGAAATTGAAGCCAATTTGTAAGGTGGATGTCGCCTTCAAACGTGTAAAGCATCGACCCATTCACCAATGGCGTTACAAAATTAGGTCTGCTCTTTCACTTGTACTCGGTGGAATCTTTCAGGATGAAGATTAAGAATTATTCCATTCTCTTGTTTTGGATCACCTGTGATAACTTATCAAAAGGTTTCCGGCGCAGATAAAGTACCACCAGGCATTGGCAGCTGTAGAGCAATATACCTGTACCACTCCCGACGTAGTTTATTGATAGTCTGTAAAAAAAAACGTGGGAGAACTAAATATTCAGTTCAGTAGATTATATTTGATCATATTCAAAGTGAGATGTCACCACTGGCAGAAGAAATATAAGGCAGAAGAAATATAACGTCTATTGATAGTCTATTAAAAACGTGGGTTATACTCAATTCAATTTGATCTTATTAGAAGTGAAATGTCACCACTGGCAGAAGAAAATTCTCTCACGGCGGGCCGGTGCCTAAATCTCCAAAATGATTGTCGGAAAATGCACAGATGTTTCTATACAACTGCCGGTTCCCACAATCAATGGGATTCAGAACGGAGAATGGATTTCTCAATGTTAATGTCACAAAAATTTCTGTTCAGAGAGATAATATTAATAAGCTGCTTCCATGGCCGTGATTTGTTTAGCATGTTCTTCTTATCCTTGTACTAATATTGAAGGTTTAGCTTCGACCTTTCTGGCCAGATATAAGTAGACTCTGTAAAATTAATAGGGAAGGAAGAAAAGAAAACAGCATCATCGACTTATATGTACAGGTAAGCTTCCAGCTAAAAATCCAACATTTTTAGTACTTAGAAAAGGGAGACAATACATATATGAACATGGATACTAGGCTCTACCCAAATGACTGACAATTTGGGCAAAGGACCAAACCAACAAACACTACCACCAACTTCATTAAGCAGCTTCGGCAAACCCAACCCTAAGCCTCTCGGAATCAAATACAGTGTGGTAGCGACCCATGAAAACATCTCCAAGTATCCTACAAACACCAGAACCATACATTACATCAGTCGTGTGCTTAGAACCCAATGTTAACAAGCGTGAATAGAAGTCGCCTGAGCAACTTACCAAAGTGGTCCACGAGGAGGAGGAATATCAAGACCAGTGAAACCACTAATGCATTGAGCGGAAGCACCTTCGCCAACCTTGAGGATATACTGTTCCAATCCAACCAAACAATAATAATCCATCTTAGTATGATGACAACATTTGTTGCAATGAGTAAATATAGGCATGTGGTAGATATTTTCCTGACTCGAATCCAATGAACCAAACACAGGAGGAAACCAATGATTCCAAATTTTCAACATAAAACCAAATCGCACAGAAGAATATTCCCATGTTAATGCAGCGGAAGTGCAAATAACATATAACAAAACCGAATGGATATGTACATGCAGCAGTCATAACAGGCTGACTAGATTTATTTATGCTTTACCTCCTCTGCGGAAAGTTCGAAAACTTTGCCACCAATAGTAAAGGAGACTTTGGGCATAGACGCGACGCTTCCACAATCAACAGCGGATTCACCCATGGGGCTGGGCAATCGCTCACAAAGCTGAAAACGATCAATGTTCAAAATTTTTAGATGATAAAAACATGAACCAACTGCTCAAACTTGGCACCACAGGGGGAACACACGATATTTACCTGGTTTGCATACTTCAAGATGCGCTCTTGTGTTTGGTTCTGCTGGAGTTGGCTCTGCATCCAAACAACTGCCATCTCACAGGCAGAGCACATACCATCACGTAATCCAGCTGATTTACCGGCAGTCTCATCCACAACACTCTCTATACCCATGCTGTTAAGAGAATATGGAAATGGAGAATCAGGATGAATGTAGTAACCTTGGTACCGGTTCTTGGAACAAGTTAACTAATTGTTTGAAGAGATTCGGTCAATTAGCTCAAGCTGAGTGCACAAAAATAAGCAACCAAACATTTTTTATCATGACAAGCCAACCTAACACCACGAGTTCCATCAAAAGCGCATACACCAATTTGGGAGCATATCTTCTTTGGTGAAGCCTGCAAAAGAAATTGAAAAATGATTTTCCAATCTTGGGAGTTATTACAATTCACAGAGAGAGACAGAGAGGAGAGGGGGAGAGAGAGAGTGAGCCTCGGGAACGGTAAATAATATAACAGAAGCACCAGTAATACCTCAGCCAAAAGCAGATCCATAATTGTCTGGCCATATTGCTCAACCACAGCCTTGCATTCTTGGCTTACCACACCAGAAGCTCCAATTGCTTGGTTTATCATAGTTATAATGGCCTGCAGAAAAAGATATGCATTTCAGTCTAAAGATCGATCATTTGCAAAATATAGGGAAAACAATTCCTCTTTCATTACACCATAGCTTCATGAAACTCAAGTAACAAACCAAAACATGCGGGATCATAAAGTAAATCATGCATTGAAACCAAAGAAAAGCATGTAGGTTAAAGGTACAGGATGCCAGACCGACAAAATAAAAAGCCTAGACGCAAAACTAGGTAAGTATAGACAATATAAAACAAACCGTAGGCCCAGCCAAGAGAGAAGTCCCAGAATCAGCAATTGCAGAACACCCTCCGTCACAGTAACCTAATCAAAGGCAAATTACATTACAGTCGGGAGTATTCATGTACAGATTAATAAAGAACCACTAACGTTGCAGAGAGAGGGAGAGACAGTACCTGTTGGTTTACCATCTATGAGGACATCACCCATGTCAAACTGTCGAGCAATCATCCAATACGTCGTCAGCACAATAGGTCTCTAAAATTATATTTTACCACATTTGAGCACCCGGAAAATTACCTGCCAATAACCTTTCCGAGTCACTGGAACCCAAGTGTGTTTCCCCTTGAAGTGATTGGGATCAACTCCACCAAAAACAATTTCCCCTCCTTGCTCTTCCTCTGTCTTGCGGTTCAGCCAAAAAGAAAACACAGCTTCCTTCACAAGACCTTGCTTAACCATATTATCCCTGTGTCACAAAGTAACATCATTATCAGCCCAAAAAAATGGGTCTAACCACCAAGACACAAATCTTGACAAAAGAAAATTTCAAGCCAATAAAAGGAAAAAAGTATAAAACTGTATGTACATCAAGAAATCTCCTAAACATACCACACTGGAGTAGCATTTCCAACAGATATCTCTCGGAATCCAAGTCCCAGAATACCATCAAACTTGGCCACAAGAAAAGTGACACTGGGCTCTCTCGTAGCCTCAATAAATTCCTATCATAAATCAATAGCATGAGTTATGAAGCTGAGCCAACAGAAAGAATGACAAGGAGAGAGGAGGGCAGGGCAGATAATAACCTGATCTTTTACAACTAGGTCACCAACTCTGACACTATCTTCACTAAAAAATCCAGATATAGCTCCAGTTCCATAATGAATTGCAGCAGACTTCCCTGAGAGGAGGTAGAGAAAGATGAATTATAGAGAAAGATGAATTACGAACCAGCCAACCAAGCTCCATCGTGAAAAACTCATTAACCACTCAAAAGTTGTTTCTTCAACAATCCCTAGAACAGGACCACAAATTCCGTGCCTTCACATAGCCTAACAGCCTATAAAAATTGTTTCAGTATAGTCCTACAACTTCATCGAGCATTTCTTGTGTTAATTTAATACCACTCCACATTGTCTTGAGAACAGAGAAAAACACCCTAATCCCAACTAAGGATAGAACATGTAAAGTGTAATCTTATGCTAGACAATAATATAGTATTTTTTATTTGCATGCTAAACTATTTTCTAAATTGCTTCAACAGGCATAACGGAACCACACTAATATGCACAACTAATGGCAATAAAACAGCAAAAAGACTCAGCTGTGTAAATTTGTTAGTTTTTGAAACCCAGATCAAAAGGAACAAACAGAATAAACATCAATCTCATTTAATTTCAGAAACTAGCCATTATATACAGTGCCCCATGATTTTAGCAGATAATCATTTCTACAAAGCGACAATGAACGAACCAAGGAGACATTCTGCCGCATTTTGAATAAAGGTATCTCTATGCTGCAAACATAAACGGATGTGACATGTTTAGAAATGTACCATTCTTCTTATAAGTACTGGATTGGCTGGACTTGTACTTAGCATGAAAAAAGCATGGCACCTGCATTAGAATACTTGGAAGTATTAAAAAGACCTCTTTACGATTGACCAACAGATAAAATCCAAGAAAATGCTGAACTACGCATGGTACAAAGACTGTACAAACTCACCGAGAAGTAGCACTTAGCTGAAGGAACCCACAAATTTGAGCTGCCGGTGTCAAAGATCACAGTGAATTTCTGAGAAGGGGTACCAATACCAATCTCACCAAAGTACTGAGCATCCATGTAATTCTTCAGTGCAACAATGTCAGTATCAGCAGAGTCCCCAAGCTTATTACCACGGAACTTGTACTTCCGTATAGATGTTCTCAAAGCCTCTCCTTCCCCTGTCTCAAGCCGCGAAGCAAGGCGGTTATTTTGATCAAATTTCATCTTCTTGAGACCAATTCTAACAAGCCCATCATCAGAAGAGGAGAAGGCCAGAGGAAGCAACAGCAACGATATGAAAAGCGCGACGGTTACATCTTTTAACTGGAATCCCATTTTGACCTACAAAATTAATATCCATACTCGTCCAGTCAATCTTTATATTACTTCAAAACAATGAAAACCAAAAGAATATATGCAATCCACATAGCAGTTTAATGTTATTCAACAAAGTGAAAAAAAAAAAAAAGGAGTTATTAACCTGTTTATATGGATAAAAATTCCAGTTTAAAATCATTAAAACAAATTAACAGGCCCCACAAAACCTTCTATTGTTCGTGCATTGACACGAAGGGACTAAATAATACAATTCACAAACTTTCTTCCATTTGAAATCATGGGGAGAATAGGCCAGGAAAAATTTAAAAAAAAAAAAAAAATCACAGCACACTTGGAGAGTCCGAATCATGAAGGGAAGAAGAATCTGCTATTGATTATACACAATGTGTTCCAGAAACACATCTTAGAAATTGAAAAATGGAAACAAAATACTAGTAAAATACTTGATCATCTGCAACTGTGCATAGGAGCAAATTATACCCTCTGATTCAAGAATCCATTGAGATATAAAAGACATTCATTAAGACAAAATTGTAAGCGGCATGCATACAGGAATGGACACCAATAATAATAATAATAATAATAATAATAATAATAATAATAATAATCATGATGAATGTCAGGGGAAAAAAAAACTGAAAATGAGAATTAACAAAAACCTTCATAAACCCTGCACAATCATTTTCCAAACTACAGTGATAATGGAACAGCCAAAACTTCATAATACAGCTAAAACCTCATTAATTCGACCTCGAACATGTTGTCGCATGACAAAAAAAGAACAGCAAAAGAAAAAAGAAATTAAGACAAAAAACACGAAAAAAAAAGAACAAAATAATAATGATAATGCCCATAAACCAGCCGACTAAATCTCACAATTTCATTACACTTTAAACAAGAAAAAAATTATCCTTCCATTTCGTTTCAAATGTTAAGGCAAAAAAATTATAAGCAGAAACCTTACCGGAATTAGAGAGGGAGAAGAGGTTCGATAGAATCAAAGAAGCAACCGATGAATGATAATTCTCGAGAAATAAAGAAAGCGTTACCCTTTTTTTTTTTAATTTATAGCCCAAAACCGACTTTCCGAACCACCATTCTCCAAAGTAATACTAACCGTTCGATGTAAAGAGAAAGGATTAAACCTAAGCCGTTGATTTTAGATAGAAATCCCTCTCACGGGATGCTCGTGTATAGGGACGCTAAAAAGGAGTAATTAATGATGCAAAAAAAGAACATGGGGCAGGGATTCGCTGCGACGAGGCCTAATTGAGAAAGATAGTATAGTTAATCTGAGACGTTGGTTAATAATCGTGCGGCTATGGTAGGCGGTGTAGGTCGGTTGATAAGGATGGGGTAGCGTGACGGAAAAGACGTGAGAATATTAGTGCTTACGTGTCACCAAAGCATCCCACGATGCCGTAAGCTTTTGTTTACACGCGAAGCTTTGATGTTCTTTATTTCCTTTTTTTTTTCCTTTTCTTTTTTCCTTTATTTTTGTTTCTTGAATTCTGATCATTTTAGCACAAAAAGTTTACACAAACTATAACAAACTTTCAGACTCTTATGCAAAAATTAGCTATATTTAGGCAGAGCATATATGACCGAGTCAATTTGGTAACGTTCTGTTCATTGGACTGATAAGGGGAAATTTAGGATATGTTTGTGTCGTTTTTTTAGTGTGTGTTTTTAAATATTTTTTGTATTGAAAATATAAAAAAGTGTATTAGAAATGTAAAAAAGTATATTAAGATGTGACAGATATTATTATATTATTCTGAAAAAAACATGAGAAAAAGAAAGTAAACAGAGCCTTAATTGTTTTTATCATCAAAACACTCAATAAACACCTAAAGTATAAACACGAATTACTAAAAGGAAGAAATAGTCAATCTCATTATTCATTTTTAGAGTTGAATCTTTCTTTATCACTCTCAATAATTTGTCGCATTAGTACTTGGTTTAAAGTTTTTTATATAATAAAATAAATAATGGCTAGAGTTGTTCGTATGCGCAGATTCGTCTTGATTACAATAGTTGATTTCTGAGCTTAGGTTCATCAAGTAATCACACATCTGACTTTTGTTATGACAAGAAGAAATCAAACAGGTTAGGAATTAGGAGAATCAATTAGGGTTGATTGTTTTTCTTCGTTTCTTTAATGTGATTTTTGTTTGTGTTGGTGCTTTTTGGATTTGGACAGAGTTGTTGGTATGCCTTTCTTCATTATTAATTAGGATCAACAACCAGATAATTCTACGCATTAGACGAAGGGTTACTGCGGAGTGCAGAATAACCATCACTCATTTTCTTACAAAAATATAGAATATTATTATTCGTAAGGGTTAAATAATTACTTATTTAATCGTTCTTTTTCAACCCGATCCTATTACGAAGTTAGCACTGGGATGATGATCAACAATTAAGATGGACTAGATTATCGTTCTTTCTTTCTTTTCTTTTTTTTTTTAATGGAAGATCAATATCATTACTCCCCTCCACGATCATTCGGTCCACATTGATGAATATTCTGGGACTTTATAATTTAAAAATATAGTGAAGGTTATATCCCTATATATAGTTTTCAACATATAACTCTCTAGTAATATCATCACAAAAATCAATATAACTATAACTTGAATATGATCGACTAAACAAAATTTAATCAATCTTCTGTTTTTCCCGACGTTAGAATCTTTTAATGAAAAAATCTTACAAAAGGTTCATCTTTGCCTAATGATTTGGAAATACAAGGACCTTCGGGCATTGTAATATAAAGTACCCTTTGCGATCATCCAAAAAAATAGATGAATTTTTTCCTTAAATATATGTAAAAAACAAAACCTAGACAAAAATAAAACTTTTTAAAACTTTGTGGACAAATTTATATGCCCCGGATTTAGGAAATCCGAATGGGGGGAAAACTCGGATTTCGGAAATCCGACCCCAACTAAACTCGGATTATTAAAATCCGACTTTGTATTACGTAAATCGAAATTAAGTTAATGAAAAAATTAGTGTAATTAATCTAAATCGGATTTTATAAATCCGATTTTATGAATAAAATATTAATTTCCGGATACTATAAAAAAATGTGTTGAAAAATTAAATTGGGCGTAACTCGGATTACAGAAATCGAATCGCTTTGTTTTCTGAAAAATGGTGACTCCCAGGTTGTTACGGACTCGGATTTTGAAATCCGAATCTCGCAAAAAGTCCAGGTTCGGATTTCGCAAATCCGAGTCTTTGTCAAGCGAAAAAGAATTAGACTGATTTTCACCAGTCCTAAACATGTTTACAGACCAACAACAATGAAACATTGGAAAATAGGAATTTAATAACAACAAAACAATAAACGGCATTCAATTAACAACAAAATAAATCAAGTTTCATAAAAGTTCAATACAAAAACTACAATAAATGTCCAAAATAATGAAATGTCTCATTTTTTCCTTTTCCTTTATTGTGCGCATCCGGAGTGTATTTGTTTGGGCCTGTCGGATCCTGTCTCCTCTTAAGATATGTGAGTATTGAACTTTGGTGTGGTTGCATTGTCCACCAAACCGAGCCTCGATTTGGGGTGGAGATTGGGACTCCCCATGGTGATAAATTTGACTCCGGTTGTGGTTGCGACTGCCCACCAAACCGAGTCTCGGGTCCACCAATGTCAAATCGAGTCTCGGGTCCACCAATGTCAAATTGAGTCTCGGGTCCACCAGCTTCTTCAAAATGAGTCTCGACCTGGATGCGCGAGCCTCGAGAGGAATGTGCTTGATCCTCATTTTGTTGACCCTCAGTTTGTTGTTGCGATGTTCGAGGGGATTGTGACCTTCTCTTCTTCCTCCTCCAATCTTATCTCTTGACCACGGTTTCGCTTTTTTACCCGGCGGAGGTTGTGAGGGAAAAAATGGATCTTCATCAACAAGGATTTGGGTATCATCCACCTCCATCTCATCATTTGCGCCCAAGGTTAAAGCAGCATGTGTTTGATTGATGATATCGTCCAAATGCTTGTCAAGTTCTTCGTCTAGGAGATTATCATCTTCTCGTTTTTCTCTAAACCTCTCGGTACTCACGCGAATGTTGTTCAATACTTCACCCTGAAAAGAAATTGGGACGTTAATTAAGAGAGTAAAGTTCTAAAAAAATGAAAAAAAAATGGAAACATAAGAAATAATAAAAGAAATCTACAATTAACTCACATATAATTTCACGCGGCTCGAAGAAGTCTCGTATCCTTGAGGTTCATAATTACGGGATTGGATATCAATCGACAGTGTTCACCATAAACCATTCATAGTACCTCTCATATACGGAACCGGGATCTCCTTCCTCCAAATCTCGTAGCACGAACTCTTCTCTCCTATTCCAATGACGGCGTCTTGCGGAATGGTGATCCTCCCAATTATTGCTAGGATACCCGGACATACGTGGGCGTGATCGAGAAGAAATGCTGCGTTATCTTTAATCATGGGGCGCTTGGGAACATCCTGTATGTATCCAAATTGTCTTACGACTCGCCCGACTCGTGGGGTTCCCTAATAGCCCAACAACATTCAACACCTAGTCGTCCAAATGGCTTGGCCTTGTGTACGTAAATCGGGAGTCTATGGAGGACATGTGCATATGGTTGCCACCGAAACCGCACGAAAAAATTTCATTAGATGGTACAACCGAAACCAAAAGAAAGGGGTAATTGATTTCAAAGTAAATATAAATACCAAATTACAAGTACTTACATCTTCAACACGCAGACTTGTTAATTGATCTCTAAACGGTGGAGTCTGCTCCTTGGGCGTCGCCGTACGTGTACCTACATTCCCACCTTAATAAACAAAGGGTACATTTGAATTAGTGAAATAAATGAATAAGAAACAAATAGAATTAAACGTTGAGTTATTTTGAACTGAAAATACGTACTCACCGAGCTAATGGAGCGGTCTCATCAAGCAAATAATCTACTCCTTTTCTTTGGGGCGCGATCCTCTCGATCCGCTCATACGCCCATACCTAGTAAATTGCAATAATAATGTAGAAACTTCAAATTATAACGTCGAAAGCGCAAAATAATTAAAGCACAATATGAAAACTAATACGTACTGTAGCAAATATAGACACCCGGTGGCGTCGTGCATGGTATCTTGTGATGCCTCGCATAGGCAGTACAACCTGCCCAGCAGTGCCGATCCCCAATCGTATCGACTACACCGATCCAAATCCTCAACTGGGCCAAGAAGCGTAGATTGACGGTGTTACGCGTCTTGTTCGGAAACATGAAACTGCTAATAAAATGCGGTATAAGTGTCTGGCCCTTTACTCGAATCGATGGACAGTGGAATTTGAAGGTAATGCACGGCCCATCTCATCTTCGAAAATACCAACATTGACACATTGGCCATTTACAATCGCCGCCGGAATCCCAAATAAGCCTCACATCGATCCCTCCATTCATCTGCAGTCCGCGAACTGTCGTGCCGTACACCGGTCACCATCCACCGAATACCAAACAGGACCTCGACGTCCCGTAGCGTCACCGTCGCCTCCGAAATTAAAATGGAAAGTGTGGGTTTCGGCCTCCACCGTTCCACCAACGCGGTAATGAGGCCTAGATCAACTCTTTTGTACCCTACCTTCATGATCCCCTCAAACCGGCTCTCCTAATGACTTCCTTAACCTCCGGGCCGTATTTTTATATAACGCCCAAAATCGCGATCGTACCTACGGCCCTTGAGGCGGAATGTCTTAATGTCCGGTATCCTGTTCTCATAGACAGCTTGGGACCTATGCTTTGTATGACGATATAGCATTTTATCTTGTATAGGTCCCGGGTGAAGATGTTTAGGTTGATAGTCATATTGGGAGCCCGATGCCGGCGTCGCCATTTCAATCCTACACAAGGTAACCAAAACCATAAACATTCGGCCAAATAAACAAGACTACCAAACCATATACATTTGGCCAAATAACAAAACTACCAAACGATGTACACTCGGCCAAAAAAAAACAAATCAACCAAACTTCAAATTATTCGGCCAAATAAACAAGACTACCAAACTATATACATTCAGCCAAATAACAAATCAACCAAACGATGTACACTCAGCCAAAAAAACAAATCAACCAAACTTCAAATTATTCGGCCAAATAAACAAGACTACCAAACCATATACATTTGGCCAAATAACAAATCAACCAAACGATGTACACTCGGCCAAAAAAACAAATCAACCAAA